AGAAACTCAGTGCATTGCTTTATTGATTTTTATTCATATACAATAATAGAACATTAAGTTATTGTTAGTTGTTCACTCATTACTTTAAGATGAACATGTTCTTAGCCCTATAAAGGCTGGAGGGTCGAATCTATGTATAGCCTGGGGGCGTTTGACCCCCCATCCCCTAGAAAAAGGCCTTAGAGAATAGGTATAGGGTTGAAATGCATGTTCATAGACCAATTTTTCATGGCCAGCTCAAAGAAAAAAAATTAAACCGATAATTTTTAAAGTTTGGGTGCTAGTGAGGGTGGAGAAAAATGCCTTGAAAAGGGTTAAAAAAAATTGGATTTTTTTTAACCAAATATCAAAGTGTGACACATGTTTTTACATTGCTTAATTATTACTTAAAATTGCTTTATTGTAAATTATTTGCTTAATTGTTACTTAGTTTTAATTGTACTTAATTGCTAATTGTGAATTAGTTACCTAATTGTTGCCTAATAGCTTAATTGTAACTCCATTACTTAATTGTAACTCAATTACTTCATTGTTACTTGACTACTTAATTGTTACTTAATTACTTAATTGTTACTTAATTGCTGACAAGTTACAAACTTGGTAAATGAAACTTTGACCAGTCCTTCTCTTCTAATTTGTTCTCATATGTTTCTTCTGTTTGTTTTAATCTAATACTGCGTTTCGTTCATCTGAGCTGAAAACTTTATAATCTTGGGATTAATACTTGATCATCTCTTTTTAGCTTATCCCCTGACTAGTTTAGTCTTTAGATTAACTTCTAGAGATTAAGAAATGCGCTCTCTAACTTTTGAAAAACCTGTTTTTAATTTTCCCGCATTTGTGGTGTCATATCAATTGGACTAGTGATCGATTAAACGAACATGAGATGGCAATGCCCGATTTACAACGGTATCCTTGTAAACTTGAATGTTACCCTTGTAAATTTGAAGGTTACCTTTGTAAACTTGAAGGTTACCCTTGTAAACTTGAAGGTTACCTTTGTAAACTTGAAGGTTACCATTGTAAACTTGAAGGTTTCCCTTGTAAACTTGAAGGTTACATTTGTAAACTTGAAGGTTACCTTTGTAAACTTGAAGGTTACCTTTGTAAACTTGAAGGTTACCATTGTAAACTTGAAGGTTACCTTTGTAAACTTGAAGGTTACCCTTGTAAACTTGAAGGTTACATTTGTAAACTTGAAGGTTACCTTTGTAAACTTGAAGGTTACCCTTGTAAACTTGAAGGTTACCTTTGTAAATTTGAAGGTTACCCTTGTAAACTTGAAGGTTACCTTTGTAAATTTGGCATTGCCATCTATAATTAATGGGTCACTTGAAAATACACTTTTAATCACCTTCAGGCACTGAATAGGTATTTTAATGGTTAAAACACGTAAATTTCAGTGTTTGCGAAAATAAATAAATAGCTGGCCATGAATATGCGGAGCAGTTTTAAAGAGCTCCATATAATCATTTAATTTAAAAACTAAATATTTGCAACATTCCATTATCAGAAAGTGAAGAATACGACATTTGATAAATTCTTTCGATGTATTCGTTATTAAGGGTTTTACTGTAGCTAAAGATTAAAATTTTAAATTTTTGCATTTAACATAAGAGGAATGACCACATTTCCATACAAAGGGTGGGGAGAGGGGGCCTTCTGATTTTGTTTTTAAAGATTTCTCTCTGATTTTTTGCATTTAGGCCTGAATTGTGATTTAGTTTTAGAATCAAAAACCAAAGTGAGGGAAAATAAATTACCCTCCTTAATTTTTCCGCATTTTTCGGACAATTTTTTTAAAACTTTGTTATGTCTAAAGTCATCAACATTGGGTCGGGAAACTCAATTCTGGACTCTATAATACAATTCTGGTCTCTATATAATACATTTTTTTGTAAGATTTGTTTAACAATTGGGTTTTAATTCAGCATACTACTTGAATAAATAAAAAAATCATAACACTTCGAATCAAATATTAATTTTCGCGATTTATTTCTCTCTTTTTTACGTAATTAAATGCGTGATGATGAGTGTTTATATTCTAGTTTTACTTGTCATTGTTAAAAACATATATAATCTTCTATTAGATAAAGTTGGTGCACTTCCTTCTAAAAAAAATACCCAGATTTCAGTAATATACAGAGTGCCCCAATAAACATGGGAATCGAGAGACGACTTGAAAGTCGTCTTCGATTTCTGATATGTAATGCATGGCAAAGAAAGTAAATAAATATATATATACCTTTCTTGTAACGTAACAGATATTAAAACAATTATTAAATAAATTGAAATTTGTACAATTTCGCAATATATCTGTCAATTTTGAAGATACAAAAATGGTAGTCCACATTTTGAAACCCTAGTAAGAGTCAAGACCGGGCGTTTTCGGTATTAGATGATTAAACTGCAGATTCGAATACTGCTATAATTGTGTTCATGAAAAAATGCCGCATAGATCGAAGACGATATAAAAGTCATCATTGAATTCCCATGTTTATTGGGACACTCTATAAATAACAAATTTTCAAGAATATTTAGAATGCATCTTAGACAAGACGACATTCGCTTTCAGTCTTTAAATTCAAATTGATTCCTTACAGTACAGGGTTATTCACAGAGGATGAGACTTTAAGGGCGATCTAAAACTCTTAGAAAAAAAACGATATGAGGTTTGAACTTAATATTCTGCATTAAATATAGTCCTTCAGCAGTGCATTTAATTATAATTAGCTAACATATAAAGGACTTTACAACTTTACTCTTCACTGAAACCCGCAATGTCGTCGGTTAGAAAACTGCAGTACACAATTAAAGAATTATGTAGAGTTCTTTTTTAAGTCTCAGTCTTTGTTGCTATGTCCATGTACTAGCCGTTTATTTTGCTATTTCCATGTATTAGCCGGTTATTTTGCTATTTCCATGTATTAGTTGGTTATTTTGCTATTCCCATGGATTAGCCGTTTATTATGCTACTTCCATGTATTAGCTGGTTATTTTGCTATTTCCATGTATTAGCTGGTTGATATTTTCATGTATTAGCCGGTTATTTTGCTATTTCCATGTATTAGCCGGTTATTTTGCTATTTCCATGTCTAGCCGGTTATTTTGCTATTTCCATGTATTAGCTGGTTATTTTACTATTTCCATGTATTTGCCTGTTATTTTGCTATTTCCATGTACTAGCCGGTTATTTTGCTATTTTCCCAGTAGAATACAGAATTTTATTGCTTGAATAAATGCCAGCTGTATTTCAAATAAAAATAAACTGATAAAAACAGACTTCCAACATCTCCTCGAAAGGGACTGTAATTGTAATTTCAAGTGACCCTTGCAATGGAAAGATTGCAATTCCCGAATCATAACTTTAACCTTACAAGCTTTGTCTGGTGATCAAGTATGAATTACTGATTAGATATCAATGCTAATAATTTTGAAAACTGATAATTTTGCTTTGAAAATGTAACTCGCGATTTCCTACTGCAGGATCGAAAGGCATATAGAAATTTTCTGAATTAATCACGTTTAAACCTAGAAAAAAACGACTATATCTTCCACATTATTGATCAGATAAAGGTTTTATGTGTACTTTTGTGAATCAGGCATTATCAACTTTGAAGAGAGCGTCACTTTATAAGAAGCTTACAATCCCTTTAACCTTGATAAATGTATATAATTATACATACTATATCCCCCTTTGATCTAGACCCCACCCATTCCTGCATAACCCCCCCCCATCTCCCACCCACTGCTTCTGAAATACTAGCCAGGACATTTTTCTTTGGCAAGCAGCCATTTCTTAAGAGTTATTTTTAATCTTTTCAAAACTCAGACATAAAAAAGCTGCAATACATAAATTATAGCGTGTGTATAATTCTCTAATTTAACTCGTCTTCATTATTTTGGTTTTTCTCAATCTAAATCAGATAAAAATGCATTTGAACAATAACATTGCTGAATTAAAGGGTTTTATTTAAGTATTGAGTCATCAAAAGGTTGAACAGCTGACCTTATACCTTCTAGAAGATAAACAGGGGTCAATTTTTTTATGCAAAATTAAATAGCTTTATTTTTATACATACGTACATACAACATACATAACAAAAATCAACTCAAAAATATAAAGATAGATTTAAGTCAAAACATAAAAATATAGAATTATTTAAAAAAATTAATTTTTGAATCTGAATTTATTTGAAAAATATCCCCCCCCCCCTTTCCCTGTTATCCTTCTATGTATTTGCTTTCTCCGCCTAACATTGCCCCAGTCGGTCTGGTCAACTGATATAGGACACATACTTGAGTGCATACTGCACAAAGCATATTTATACTTAATGGTGAGCTTACCTTTTATGACATGAGTTACAAAATTGAGTGTTTGTACCGGGTCACAATTTTACAAAAATATCAAATCCCATGATATTCAAGGTTTTCATATTTTATTTTTATTTCAGGTTAGACCTTGACATTGCTTAGACGGACAGGTAACTTATTTATATGTACAGAAGTAAAATGTTTAGATATTATAGTGTCATAGAATTAACTTAATGAAATTTTACAAAGTTAGTTTTTCAATTAAAAAATATTTCCTAAAAATAGCTTAAGAATGGCAAGTGCACCTGGCATTCTGACCTCTTCTGGAGGAACAAAGAAGCCCTTCACATATTGCCCTGGAGGGATCAACTTTAATGAGTTGAAGAGTCCCAAGATGGCTCGACGTATTGCCAAACATCAATCTCAAATGGAGAATACTCAAACCCTACCATCCAGAAATGCTGCAGAAGCTTACAAAGCACTTGAAAACGATGTGAGTAAATTTTTTCAAAGGTTTATAATACAGCTAATTATTGAATTATATAACCATATTTTATTAGCAGTTAAAGAGTGTGGCAAGTTTCCAAACCAATACACTTCCAAGCCCTGGAAAATCTGTTGTGGCAAAGCCAACTTACGGAAGGCAAAGAAGTATTTCTGACTTATTGTCTTGTTCAAATGATCCACCCTCTTCTTCTTTTTCAAGACCAGACCCTGTAAACCATCAGATTTTTAGTTACAATCCCTATGCTCCTGACAGGTCAATTTCAATTCCACCTCCAACACCCCCTCCATTCATACCAATGGAAACAGTTGACCCTCTTTCAAGGTCAAATTCTCTTCCACCTGTGGTCAAAGAAGACCAGAAGATCAGCCAACCCAAGCACATTTCCAAAGCAGTCAATCAGAGTAGACCTGGTTTGCCACCACCCCATCCAGCACTTCAAGATTCAACAAGAGCTTTTGTTCCACCAAATCAACTGATTCAATCAACTGTGTCAACCCCAACCTTGATTCCACCTCCTCCTCCCCCACCTCCACCACCACCCCCTCCAAAAGATCTAGGAATAGTGGCTAAATCAGGACCTGGAGGAGTGCCTTTCATTGGTAAAAAGCCAGTGCGTCATACAATTACCCTTGCTGAAATACGATCAAATCAAGAAGTTTTACCTGAGGAAGCAGCACCGCCTGTTCAACAACAACAACAGCCTGCTATTGTTTCTGTAAACCACAGTCAAATTGTTACCCCAACTATGATGTTCAATGAGCCATCTTCAATGAATTTAGATGATTTAAATGAAACCTTTAATGAATTTGAAGAACAGAGGTTGACAATGTTATCCCCTGCCAAGTATGCTAATTATTCACATTTGAGGACACCTGAGTTTATATCTGACAATAAAAACACTCCCCATGAAGTAAACAGTTTAGAACAGATGGCCCTGGAGAAGAGTCCTTGGGAAGCTTTGCCTAAATCAACACCTGCAAAGGACATTCAAAGCCTTCCCTCACACCAGATCCCCCTCCCAGTAGCAAACTACAGCAATTCTAACAACTTCACAGACAAAACTTGGGGGGTAAGTCATGAGAAAAAGAATATTTTACAAGAAGCATTTGTTATACCGAATACAAATGAATCTGAAATAATTACACCTAATACTGGGTGTATCAGGCATGTAACTGTTAAAGCTGAAATCAAGAAACCCAATGACGATATTGATTTGTCTTGTGTACAAGAAAACAGTGTGCCAAGAAATTTTAGCTTACAAAAAGATTTTGAGGCACAGAACCCAATGAACAGGCAAAAAAGTTATGAAATTAAAGAGCTAGCATCATTTGGAACAGTGCAGCCCGTAGAATCAAACCACACCTCTGTTAGATACCGACCTCCTTCTCCTGGGGGAATCACTCCAGTCAAGTTTACACTAACACCAAAAGTGGGAAGGAGAAATGCACCGGTGAATGAAACTGTAGATTCTACAATCAAGTTCTATAATCCAATACCTTCATCAAAGATACCCTTGCAGAGTCAGCCAAACTTACCACCTTCAAATGCTGGATTAACAGAACAAAGAAAAGGAATTTCTGCAAAGGAAGAAAATACTAATGTAGAAGGCAAGGTGTCTAATGCTCCAAGCAGAAATATCAGTGATAGTGGCATAAGTGATTCTCTTTCCCCTGAACCAGATGAATTTGCAGGAAAAATAATAACTGAACAAATGCAAAAAATCGAGGCACAAATGAAGAAAATTCTTGAAGCAGAAAATGCATCAGAAAATAGAAAAACAGAACCATCATCATCTGTTTCTAATTTTACACAAGATAGAACTGAAAGTAAAAGAAATAGTCTTATAAGTAACCCAGCTGATCTAATGCTTTCAAATTATTCCACAATGTCAGGATACTCAACTTGCAGTGAAGAAGAGTTGAAGTTTGAAGAACCTAAAGCAGATATTGCTCTGAAAACTGCCCCATTTGAGATAATGGAGGAGTTTGAAGAAGCTCCTGAAGAATTTGACCTTGGTATCTCATCTTACAGTATTGCACACCCAATTGAGGAAACCATGGAAACTACACCTGTCAATGATGTTAATGACTATGATTTATTCAATAACAATTTTACAACATTTGATAAAAAGGAGAAAGATACATCAATATACAGATTTACAGCTCCTAAAGAACCAGTGTTAAAATCTGACAAAACTGATCAAAACCAGAAACAAACAGCAAACAATACTTGCCATGTTCCCTCTATAAATCAGGAATCATTCTTTGGTCCCAGCACACCTTTGCACTCACATTTTGTGCACCCTCAGTTTCCAACATTTAACCAATCATTGTCCCTTGATTCAATGCCACCAATGTTTGATCAATTTCCAACACTTCCGTCAATGTTTGACTCAGGGTTTTCTTCAAATCCATTTATGAACTCTCCTTTTCATACATTACCAGTGTCAATGCCTATTCCAAAAACAGAAACTGGAGAATCTGAAAGAGTGATCCCTATTCAAGTAATAAATTCACCATACAAACCAAAACAAAATAATCAGGTATTCTTTATTCACATATTTATGGCTGATATTTAGTTTTTTGTTTATTTCTTTCATTGTTTGTTATAGGTGCTTATCAAGAGTAAAAGTAACACAGTTGAAAGAGATAGAAATGTTCCTATTCAGGTATTTTTAACATTTATTTCTTGAGGATTTTTATCTCTTTAGAGATGTCTTAAAAATGTATAGGGATATTCGAAAAATCGTACATTTTCATTATTAAATCATTCAGGTTGAGAGTAGTTTATCTAGCAGCATCAATGCAACAAATCAAAGAGGTCAATCCAGAAACATTGCTGACTTGCAAAATGAAGTTTCCCACAGTCAGCAGAAAAATATGATCCAAGGGCAAAATGGCATGGATTATAGCAAATCTTTGTCAACTCCCGAAAATAATCTGCCTCCACCAACCCCAATCTCATCATTCACAAGAAACTCCACCATGTCTCCCACACATCAATCTCCTCCCCAACCATCCAGATCATGGACAAAATCTCCTGTATCCTCAAAGATACCTGATCCCCCTATGTTTAGAGTTCCTAGTTCACCTCTCCAGTCAAAGAGTATGCATGAAATGCCATCGTCTCCCTCTCAGTATAGTAAGGCAAACATAAGAGGAGTCAATAAATCTCCAACCCCTACTGCACTTCAGAATCAAATTCAGTTAATGAAGAACAAAGATGAAAGCAAATTGTCTAGACAAAATTCAAGAGAATCAGTTTCCCATTCTAGTTCATTTGCAAATGGGCAAGAAACACCTTCATTTAGGTAAAAACTGACATCCAAAAAAAACAATCATAAGAAATTATCTTAAAACTATGAACATTTCAGAGAGCTCCAAGAAAGATATGGTACTCCAACTAGCCCCACAGAGTTTGTTCTTCTGGCAGGAAAAACTCCCCTAGGAGATATAGATTATCAAAAAGTAGCCAGACAAACGGTAGTTGGTGAGCTTTCAAGGTAAAAATGTATCTAAATATGTATCTAGTTCTACAAAAACGGATAGTTGTCTTGTTGTTATTAACACAAATAAAATAGCATTTTATTTTAGCTTTGGAGGAGTAAATCAAGCATCAAAGATAACAGGCCCAAAAAGGAGACCAAGTCAGTCTCCAAGCATGAGACTTCTAAGCATGTTACACATACATGATGATCCTGAAGGTAAAAATATTGAAATCTTATCAATGTATTCCAACCTACACTGTTTTAAATTATAACAACTCATTTAGATGTGGAGTCATTTTCTGAATCAATAAACCTAAAGAAGAGTGTAAGCGTAATTTCATAATTATATCCTTAAAACCTTTGTGTGTTCATCAAGTTCAGAGATATGTATGTGTAACCCCACTCACCTTGTATTCAGCTGCAGATAGTGTGACCTGTGTGCAGTCTGAACTCTATGCACTGCCCACAAGAATTTGCAGCTTAAAACAAGCGGGTTTTGATAAGTTTACACACAAATATTCATATTTTCAACAAACATACAAAAGGTTTAAGGGCACTGCCCTCTTAGCATGAAGGGTCACTTGAAATTATGCTTACAGTCCCTTAAATTATAACAACTTTAAAATGTACAAAAGATGTTCAACCATTAAGAAAATTAAAATATTTTACTTTAAATTATATTTGAATGAAATTAAGTAATATACCCTTCAATTTGTAGAACCTGTGACAGAGTCTATGGCAATGTCAAAAGAATATTTGGGAGAACATGGGCGATTTATGCCCCCTACTCGTGGGTTGAACAGAACCATTAGTTCTCAACTTTAAACTAACATATTAACCTTTCTAGTAAGTAAAACAAAGATGTTGATGACTATATTATAATTCTAACATAGTTTTGATATTGTTGAAAATTATATTTTTTTATTTTCAGTTTGTGATCTTAGTTTCTAACACATTATCTACATCACCCTTACTAAAACAATTAGGTTTGTAGTAAGTATAAGTAGAATTGGGCTGCCCAAAATATTGATATTCTTTTTCCCAAAATATTGATATTTTTTTCCCCAAAATATTAATATTCATTTTCAATAAACTAAACTAAACTTGTTGTTTCAGGCAAGTTTTGGCTAATACACACATCACTGCAATCATGAACCAGGGCTCATATTCAGGTATTTTTCATTTGAAAAAAAAAAATTTTTTTTGCTAAAACCAATGGTATTACAGGAATCGGAAGCAACCAACAATTTCTTCAGCCTCCTGATTATGATCCTCGAAGACTTTTTCCCTTTGGACTCAGTCCAATTCCAGAAGTACCATCTGAGTTTGCATCTGAAGTTAGCTCAATAGCTAGCTATAGCCCAACACCTAGTCTTGATGATTCAGATACAGAGGCTGAAAGTGTTCGCTCCAGAGGAAGTATTTTGTACTCTGGCTCATGTGATTCAATCAAGAGTAATCACACTATTCATGGAAAATCAAGTTCAGAATCATCAACGGATACTGAGCACAGTTCTGATGAAGAAACAGAAGATGAAGCTGAAGGATACAATATGAATAACATTCCTGTTGATAAGGCAGAAGTCCTTGCCAGTAAGGTTTTTTCTGAAGAAAATGCATCTATTAGTAATGATGAATCTTGCTTAGTATATGAGAATTCTACAGTAAAACATGAGGAATTGAACCTTGTTGAAGAAAAAACTATTCCAATAACTGCTGAACCAACACCTTCCATTCCTTGTGATTTGGTCTCAGGAGCTGCAACTGCATCTGAGATCTTTAGACATCTACAGGCAACAAGAGGAAAGCAAGAAGTTACCACCGAGCTAGCTAAGATACTGACAGTGCTAAAATCTACATTGAGTTCTGATGATAAAGATTCTTCAAGCTCAGATGAGGATAGTCCAACAAATATTAATAATAGTTTAAGTCCAATCCCAACAGGGAAACCTCCTAAGCCACCGGCAAAAATTAAGTTTGCTAAAAACTCAGTTGTATCTCCTTCTATTCAGGCTAGAATTAGAAATCTAGAAGAAAATAAGCCGGGAAACCCCAAAGAAGAAATGAATCTCTTATCCAAAATTCTAGTTCATTTATTGTGCTCATGTAAGACTACTGCTGCTGCACAAGAACTAAAGAGAATTATAAGACAGTTCAAGGAAGTAGCTAAAGTTGCCATGGAGGAAGGGGATGATACTTTGGAAAGTCTAAGAACCAGTAGCCGAGCTAGTTCTAGAAGTTCCAAAAGAAAGGCTCGTTCTAGGACCACCAGTGGAAATAGCAATGTGTCTGGAAACTCCGAAACAGACAGCATGAATACATTGACACCAGGGGATTCTAAATCTAGTGGAACAGATGATGAATTAGCACAGGATCCAAATTTTGGTAAAATAAGGTTCACTAGCAATGTAGACTTGGATAAAACTAATGAATCATGTGTCAGCTATACACTTACATTACCATTAAAAGTAGTTGATACACAAGATGCTGATGAAGAGGAGGAATATGAAGATGATGAGGAGTGGGAATGGGAATATGAAGATGAACTAGAATCCTCCACACCTACTAAAGTAAGAAATGATTCATCTGGTTCTTCTAGAAATTTGACTCCCTCTGAGGCAAAGTCTGACATTTCTACTGGAAGTACCAGAAGAATTTTAATGGATATGGAATTGGGGGCTTACAACAGTCAAAGTGACCCAGGAAATTCTCAATCTACCCCCATAACAGAAGAAGAGGATGCCTTTTTAGATGAAGAAGAAGAGGACTTTAAAAATGACAAACACAAGAAAAAAGTTGCTGACAAATCTGAAAACTCTGAACATTTATACTGTCATTTGGAGGAAACATTCAAGGTACTTTCTGACACTTACAAGATTATTACAACTGGAAGTTCCCCTGACAGTGAACATCATTGCTCTGCATCACTGAATGCTGGAATTAGTACAGATAAAAGTTTTGAGGATATATTAGATGGGGTATCTAGTCAGTGTTTTCAATTAGAATCAGAAATTTTACGAAGCTCCCGTCAGTCAACTGCTGAACCTGAAGGTAAATTGAATGACACTGGCTCTAGTTCAGGACTAGTTTCAAGACCGGTCTCAAGATCAAATTCAAGAACAGGTTCAAGACCTACCTCTGTTTGTAAACAAAGCAATGTAACATCATCTGGAGTTGATAATTATGATGATGATGATGAATGGGAGTACTACTATGAAGAAGATTATGAAGTTGAAACCAAAACAGATTCTGAAGAACCGTCAAGAATACTTTTGAGATCTAGGCCTGCTTCTAGACAAGAAATAGCAGAATATAAATGTACACCTCATCCTGTTCCTAGTGAAAATGGGAAAAATGAGGATGGAAATCTATCAAGACCATCATCTAGAATTGTTAAAAGGCCATCTTCTAGAATTTCTAGACAACCTTCAAGAGCATCTTCTAGGTGTTCTGTCAAACAATCAGTAGAGGAAGAGGACTGGGGTGATGAAGGTGAGTGGGAATATTATTATGAGGAAGACTATGAAGAGGAGCCTAAAGCTCCAGTAGAGGTCCCAAGGGTGCCATCTAGAATACTAATGAGATCAAGACCAGCTTCAAGACAGGAAGTGGAGGAATATAGACATAAATCTGCACCAGAAAAAGATGCATCTCGACCATCTTCTAGAATTGTAAAAAGACCTGTTTCTAGAAATTCCAGGCCTCCTTCTAGAACAAATTCTAGATGCTCTGTCAAACAGCCCTCAACAGAAGAAGAAGACTGGGGAGAAGAAGATGAGTGGGAATACTATTATGAAGAAGAGGAAAATAATGATGTGAATTATGACAGTAAAACCTCAAACCAGCTAAACCCAAGAGTGCCTTCAAGGCAAGAAATTGTCTCTAGAGTACCATCCAGGCAAGAAGTAGATGCTAAAAAGGGCCCTTCAAGATCAACCTCCAGAACTCAAGTAAAAGTACCAACTCGTCCAAGTTCAAAAGCTACAAATAATGAGAATCAGGATGAGGATCAGTGGGAATACTATTATGAAGAAGATTATCCAGAGCAGGAGCCAGCTAACCACAGTGCCAAAACACCTTCCATTCAAGTGGATGACCCTAATGGAGTTCTCCAGATTAAAGTGCAATCAAGACCCAATTCAAGACAATCTTCTAACCAAAGCAGGCCTAATTCACGATCTGGATCTAGACCAGTGTCTAGGTCAGGGTCAAGACCAGGCTCAAGAACTGCATCAAGGCTAAAACTAACAAGTGCACTTGGAAATGTAGAGGAGGAAGATGAATATGAGTGGTATTATGATGATGGAGATGATGCAGAACTATGCAGATTCTCACCAACACTAACTACAGCTCCAACAACAAGAGCAACAAGCCCATTTCCTGATGAAAAGGGACAAACTCAGAACAACACAGGAACAGGATTCTCTCGAAGAAGACTGATCTCCATTCATGAGTCTGAGGAAACAACTCCAGTCCCCTCCAAAACTCCCACAAACCGAGAAATTGAGAGTGCTACTCCTATTTCCGGCAGCAGAGCATCAATGAACCAGACACCATGTGGTTTTAAAGCTGGATACTTAACACCAGCAGGTGTTTCAGTAGCCTTAGCAGCAGAATATTTGGGTCAAGATGCTGAAACACTTGCTGCTTCTCTTCCTGTAAACTTTATAGACAACAGTCCAAGCATGAATGAAAAGAAGAAAAAACACAAACAGAAACATAAATCAAGGGACAAAGACAGTGATGCAACAAATGATGAAGGCGAGGAGAAGAAAAAGAAGAAAAAGAAAAAAGATGGAAAATTTTTACCTAAAGTTGGTGTTAAAGAGTTGGCCAGTCAGTTAGAGTCACAGCTATTTCAAGATGAAACTGCTGGACATAAAATGATCATAACTAGGGAACAAGTTTCAGGAATCATAAGAGATTCCAAGAAGAAAACTGCCAGGGAAGAAATAAGCAATGAAAGATTGTCTGTCTTATCACCAATCTCTAAGAAAAAGGAAGAGGAAAAACGCAAAAGTGTTAGAGAAATGGTAGAGCTAATGTCATCACACAAGCTAGGGGAACCAATCGAAAATCAAAACAACATTCCAAGTATTTCAGTTTCTTCTCAAATGGGAGCACCTCCTGGTCCACCTCCACCACCAGTTTACTATCAATCTTCCAATCATCAATACCCTCAACCTGGCTATCAACCCTATCCTGTTGAAGTACATGCACAGTATCCACAGTATTCTCAAAGCCCTCATAGTCCCTACCAACAATATCCCCCTCAATCTCCATACCACCAATATCCTCCCCAACAGTATCACAATTATCAAAACTTTCCCCCACCTCCTCCTCCACAGCATTATCAACAGTACCAACAATATCCTCAATACCATCCTCCACAGCTTCAACCTTATCCTGGATACAACCAAAATTATCCGTCACATCCACCAATGGTGTATCAATCAGAAAATAATCCAAATCAAGTAAAAGTAGTTGCTGGTGGACAAACTACGATTGTCAATATGAGACAGAAAAATACTGGAACAAAGCAAAAGGATCAAATAAGACAAAATAAAAGCCCTGATGCACAAAGAAACAGTCCAAACGATTCTGAGGCCTATGGAACAGGTTCTACTGGAAGTGACCAGACAGAAGGTCAAGAAGCCGGAATTGATCATGATGAAAATAAAGAAACAGAGGATGGGAATGGAAAACCACATAAAAGACATTCCCGTTTATTCAAACTGTTGCAAGACTCTGACTACACAGATTCTGATGCTGATTCCAGATCAGATTATAGTCGTATTTCCATGAAAAACATGGAAGATAATCATAACAGAGAATCAGATATTGATTCAGTTTGTTCTGGTCTGGAAAGATCAGGAGTGGAAAGAAAACATTCTTTTAGATCCCACAAATCTTCAAACAAAGAATCAGACAATGATTCTGTTACAAGCACTGGGATAGAGAGAAAAATATCTCCTAACTCTGTTCAAAGTAGCGTTAAACACAGACGATTCATGCAACTAAGTTTACAACCAAATTATGAGCCAAGTTCTAGTGAGCTCTCAACTCCTAATTCTCCAACAGGGACAGGGCCTGATAAAAGAAGGTCATCATCAAAGCCTCCGTCAAGAGTTTGGAATTACCATGCAGATGATTTTGACTCCCATGCTGGAGTATCCGATGATTCTTCTTATCAAAGTCTTCAAAGTCTTAATAGCTTTGATTCTATCTATGATAACATTGCTGGAATGGAAGTTGAGGAAATAATGAAAAGAAAAGTAAGCAGAGATAACCTTTATCGTTATCAAGCAGAAAGCCCAGGTGCCTATGTGCGAGCATCTCCAAAAGGAGTAGATTTACTTCGTGGATCCCCTAAAACTCACTCCAGTTCACCGAACACATTTAATCGAAATTCTCCTAAATTGGAACAAGAGCTGCTTGAATTAACAAACTTTCCAAGTTCTCCAGGACTTTCTCTTCGTCAGTTCCAAACCCATAGAACCTTCTATGGAGGGAAATAGATGCAAGCAAACCTCTCTGGAGGGATAAATTTTAACAGTTGAAGTTTTGTGATTGCTTCCTTCTTCGTCTAAATGAGTAAACATTCCTTTATCTTGTATTCATTTTCCACAAGCCTGTGGCTGTAACTTATGGGTAAGTTCTTTTTTCTTTTTTTCTTTTAATTGTAGTTGCCCTGTTCCCAAAATTTTCAAATGCATAATAAACAGGTTCCCACAAAAGATGACGATCTGAAGATGGAATTTTATCCTGAGTTGGAAACTTTTGAGTAAGATACCCATAATCTTGATTGCTTTGTCTTGATATCCGCAATGAACACTTTTGAACTTTACGTAAATCTGTTGATTTCTTGATTTTTGCAAATCCAAAATTTCTCTGTCTTTTATTGGGTAAGAGCAAAATTTACCGGCTTTTGATTGGCTGTTTGTTTTCACTAGACGACAATCTTTATGGGATTTTGAAAAAAAGATTAAATTAATCTGCAGATTAACAAAAGAACAAGATCTATATCCACATTGCAAGAAGTACCAGCTCAGGGTCTTTAAGTATAAAATAAATGATTTCACACAAAAAAACATGTTAATAGTAACAACATTTCACAAAATCCATACAGTCATTTTTTCTGGGCAACCCTTTATGTAAAGGTTAAGGAATTGATTACTTCGATGTTTTTCTCTTTAACCTGTTCATGGAAACTTTTAAAATTCATAATTTAAAATAAAAAAATATTTACAACATCAGGTTGCAACAATATGAGAATTAGAAAAGCAGATTTTAAGACAAGTGATTAATTCCTCTTTTTAAATTTAATATTAAATCTAAAATCTTTAAAGAAAAACAAAAAAAATATTTATTTTTGGTTTCAAGATAAAACCAAACAATTCATTTTCTACTTTGATCTAAAATAATGTTCCTTTATTATTTTTTTTATTTCAGCACCATCTTTATTTCTCCATTACCTCAGTTTTCAAGAACAGCTGGACTTTTTCATCATTTTTCAATTGTTTAGATACTTTTTTAGCCTTTACAATACCATCTTCTTTTTTATTTAACTTTAACTTTAAAATACATCATTTTTTAGCCAAAAACTGATACTTTACTTTCTGAAATATATCTAAAATACACCAAAATCCGATGCTGAATTGCACCATAAGCAATATCTTATTTATTAAATAACCACAATTTTTTAAACAATTATTTTTGATGTTTCATGTAAAACAATATTGTAAGATTCAAGCTGGAATTGGCGCCAAACTTTTCAAATCTGTGTGTTGCATTTTAACAGTTTGCAACTCTTTAACTTTTATAAATTATATCATATTTATCAACAACTATAGAATGTCTAATTAAAAATATATAATGTAATAAAGTATAATTGATATATTTATCATTTAAGAGGGGAAGAGACATAAGATTTTTTACAAATAATTATAGTAAATTAACATTATAGTAAATTAACATTAATTATAGTAAATTAAAATTATAGTAAATTAACATTATAGTAAATTAAAATTACGATTTTAAAATTTACTTCTTTAATTTAATCTTTGAGGAAGGCCAGCCACAACAATTTATAGTCCTAACCACATTCATTCTCCTCATATTCTCGCCCGTGCGTGTATCTAATCCTCCAAGATAAAACAAGTTTTTAAGAATCGGGCCACAATAAGACATAATATTAAATATAAAATTTTTGTAAATTGAAAAAAATAACAATAGAATTAAAGCTTTTGAGTTCAATGTCCTTTCAAATTTTCACCTTTTTTACGCCCATTTTCAGATATTCCTGGTGTAGAATGCCGCAAATAATTCCGAGGTTAAAAATTTTCATATTTTTTTGTTAATTATAGTGAAAACCATAGAATTTTTTCAAGTTGTTTCAAGAGGAAAATAATAGAAAGAGGTATGCCAAATATGTTGCTATTTATTTTATATCGAGAAGGTTTAGCCATCAGGAGGTAGAAGAGATTTAGGCTTTGCTTAAATAAAGTTTGACATCATTCTCGCGGCTTTAAAGATTCTAAAATGATGTAATTATTGCAATTATTAAATGCTCCTGCTGGTTTTCTAATAATTTCTATAAAACAGTTGCAGAATTGTGAAAGTTATGGCCTTTTTAGGCTAAAAATGGGAAAAATTATTTTTATTTTTGCCTCTCATTTAAAATCCCATAAAGATATAAGCTGATCGAAATAGTAAATTTGTTTATCATGACTTCAAGATAATCTACAAACGTTTTAAAAGTACTACCACTGAAGCGGACCATAAGAGAAGCTAAAATGTGCATTTACATATATTTCTATATAACATACACACCAAGTCAATTTTTGCTTTTGCATTTATTTCTCTTAAATGTGCATGTTAAATTTGGTAAAATGATCAGATTTTTTTTACAATTTGATAAATCCTGATAGTTTGAGTAGTGTTTTTGTTTTTGAAAACTTATTATTTTCGTTTGTACAGTATCGTTGCAAAAACGCACATCTGTTGAGATATCGGAGTTAAACAATTGCTAAGCCAGAAGAGATCAACGTTATCCTCAACGTTATTGAACTAAATAGTTCAAGGGTACCTTTGTTAATAGGGCATGCTCTTTTTTTAAAATGAAGCGTCAAAAGAATTCGGTTGATAGTCCTTTTAGAAGAATAGTACACAGAAAAGCATGCCCTTAGATTATAAGATGAAAGTCTCAGTAAAATTCTTGAATCAATGATCAAGATATAACTGCACGCTATAATCAAAAAAGTTATATAACTGTCGTGATTTAGTAATATAACATTTTTATGCAAAACATTATAGAATTTCAGAATCTAAAAGCAAAAAAAAGAAAATTCTTTGCAAATGCTTTTATAGAAAAACCAAAACATTTTAGAATTTCAAACACTTTGTTAGAATTTGAGAAAAAAATATGGGATGTATCATGAAGTTTCAGCTGGGCTTAAAATGTATTTTACTGTATTCGACAGTGGTCGGCGTTTATTCCAATACAATTAAGATGACTTTTCTGATACGGTTTGAAGTTAATATCTAACAAGCATTTTTCAAATTATAAGTTTACAATTAAAAAAAACAGAAAACTGTTTATTAGCAGCTTTTCTTTGTTTCCATGTTTATGTGCATCCATGCTATTTGAAAGCTTGTTAGAAACAAAAATTAAAATTAAAAGTCGTCTTTATTGTATTGATATTTACAATGACAACTGTAACAAAATGTTCCTTATCTTTTTATTTCATCCTTTTACCGACTAATCGTCAAAATGGTTTATCACTGGGCGCACCATGGTCCATGGTTAATAAGACAGAGATTGAGAATTTAGTCTTTGAAAAAAAAACTTCTTTATTTCCTCATTTTCATGTTTTTTGGCTATAGAAAAAAAGTTTTCTCAATCCCCCGTCAATTTTATGAAAAGAAAACATCCTCTGAGATTAAAAGAAAGGTATTAATTATTCAGGAGAAATTATAAAAATCAAATCTTAGCACTTACAGGACCGTAGAGTCAAGATGGTATTTCAAGAGTAGCTCCTTTTATAGTGTCGCATGTACGATTTATCATGATAACCTTCAAACATTTATCTAAACAACAGATAAAAAAAACATTTTATGATAGAAAAAGAGGAATAATTCATGTTGGCGGAGACAAATGTTTGAAGGGTATTCTAATAAATCGGAGATGCCACTCTATAAATAGAGGGTCCCATACAAATAAAGCCCCTTTCTAACATTATTATCGGAAGGGGGGGGGGGGGTTGCGTATGGCACCCCTCTCCGAAAAGTTGAGACACGAGACATTATATTTCCAATATATTCTTAGTATTCAGTATTAAATCTGCACGAGACATTTTAGCATATAAATATTTCAAATATTTTCAGTGATTTTCAGATTAATATTGAACACCTTTCTGGTTACAGTGGGAGCTAAAAAACTGTGGCAGTTCAACTCTAGTTATAGTATAGCTCAATGGAAACACAGCAATCGTTCAATTACACATCGAAACTGCAACAAATGCAAATTTTATAATCCCTATATATTTGCAATCTGATGGTGTAAACCTTTGATATTTCAAACCAGGACTGTTCGATTAAACAGAATTCATAGTTTAAAATATCAAATGTCTACGACCTCAGGTTTCAAAGATTTAGGGATTAGTAAATCAGAGTTTGTGGAAAGAACTCAATTCCTTTATTTCACTTCAAAACTGTATTTAGAGATACTAGTAAAACTTTTTGCTTTAAAACCACATCAAATACAGATAAAATTTGCTCAAATGTCGTCGCATAGTACAAAGTTTTATGGGTTCTAGTATTTACGATCTTAACTATCGTTAAGAATAAGACTCGTATCTGTTTTAGCTTTGAACTTTAAATTATAATTTAGAATGGTAATTTTATAAACTACTAGCTTGAGAACCCAGCGATGCCTATTGTACACAATCATAGTTACTCCTGGCGCGCCATTTACCCGCACATTTGGTTGTAAATTTGACCCACTCAATTTAGTTTCTCAAAACCAAACTAAGAGAATATTCCTGTGGTTCTCTAGAGTTCCCAATGAATATTTGAGGCAAATCAGTCCAGAGCTAGGATCTTTATAATAGTGGATATCGAGATTAATGCTTAATCCTCTCTTTTTCGTAATCTCGAGACTAACTTAATCTTGTACTTGTATCCCGAAAAGTGTATAAAATTCAACCAATTAGAGTCGCGTATCAGAAGCCGTTAAATTTGAAATTTTGCGCGCCATTTAGAGTAATATACAGAAACGTGAAGGACTCTTAATTTTAAAACCCGATTTTTTTATTTTTCTGTACTATACGAGTGGATCAAGCAAGAACTCAACAGTGTCTACAATGGATTAAGCAGTCGGGATTAATGGTATCCCATTCTAAAGTTCCCAGTCCAGAGCTGAAAACTTTAGAATGGGATATCCTTAATCCAGATCAGTTAATTAATCTGGAGATTAAAAGCATGAGGAGAACAAGCATTATTTAATCTCGAGATTAAGAAAAAGAGTGGATCAAGCATCAATGCTGATATCCACCATTCAAAAGTTTCCAGCTCAGGGGTTCTATAGTTAGTGCTGGGAACTTTTAAATGGAGGATCAGGATTAATGCTTGATCCACTCTTTTTCTTAATCTCCAGATTAAATTATGCTTGTTCTCCTCTTGTTATTAATCTCCAGATTAATTAACTTATCTGAGCTGAAAACTTTAGAATGTGATATCCTTAATCCCGATATGTTGACTTCTCTGGAGATTAAGAAAAAGAGTGGATTAAGCATTAATCCTGATATCCACCACAGAGCTGAAAACTTAAGAATGGTGGATATCGGGATTAATGCTTGATCCTCTCTTTTTGATAATCTCAAGATTAACATAATCTTGCAAGATTATCTTAAAAGTGTATGAAAAACGATAAAATTCAAATTAATATTTAATCATCTGAGAAACTGTAGCAGCCAATCAGAGAAAAGCGGGCAACCAATGAGAGAACAGAAATATTCTCATTGGAGAAAACAATTATCGGATATCCAAGGAGAGAGAAAAAGAGTGGATTAGAACAAAAATGAAAAGTTTCCACAGTGGATATTCGGATCAAGAAGTCAGGATTAAAGTTTATCCATTCTAAAGTTCCCAGCTCGGGATTAAAAATATTCCATTCTAAAGTTTTCAGCTTAGGACATACAAAGAGAGATTTTGCAGATTTCAAATTTATATATATATAAGAATATTAATAAGTTATATTCTGCAGAATTTTCCGCCACATAAACAAATTGTACGGAATGTACGGCTTAATATTACAAAATATGGCGGAGTACATAAAAAATGTTCACGGAGAAAAAGCTTGGGCAAAGGTTAAAGAGCAATTACAACTTGAACAGGTAATTTCTATCAAATTAATTGTACAACAGCGTTATCCGTAGTATGAGATGGCATAAACGAACAAAACTTTTGAGAAAGAAAGTTTCCGTGAATGATGGCGCTGTTTAGAAAAAAGCGGACGATGAACGAACGACCTGGATCGTTTATAACAATTAAAATAACTATCATTTTTTTAACGAATAATTTAAATTATTTGAACGATCTTGAACTTTAAAAATACTATCGTTTTTAATGAACGAACGAATTTTTGAAATGATCGATTTTACTGAGCAAACGAAAATACTGAACGAACGATTTTACTGAACGATTGTTCATGGAAAAAAGAGAAAAAGTGGAAAATGAACGATCATTTTGACAACAAAATATATAAATAAAGAGAGGAACATAATATTGGTGCATAATCAGCTTAAAAGAGATACAACAGCCAGAGAAAAATCCACTGCTATTATTAAAATTTTGTATTTTGAAAAATTTGAAATTAAAAAAAAATATTAAAAAAACATTTTTTACCAGAAAACTCTGAAATAGGAAGACAACTTTTAGACTAGCTCTAGTTAAGACTTAAATAGTCTAATGAACATCGGACACAGCAGTTATGAAGTGTAAACAGACTCATTTCACCAAATTAGTAATTTCAGTTAAACTATTTGCTTTGTGACAAGAGTGACAACATCAAATGGTAATGTTACATCATCAATACGCAACATTCCCCTACTGAACTCTGACCTACTATCTTTCCGACCTACTGCAATATCGGACCTACGCCAGCTGTTTATTTTTGTATTATTTGAGGGTTAGGTTAGGTTAAGACAATTTATGGGGCCGAGCGCTGCGGCTAGGACAGGCTAGCTGGGGCCGAGCGCCGTGGCTAGGACAGGTTAGGAGGCAAGGCGCTGCGGCCACAAGTCCAAATAGCAGCCGTAAAACCACGTGCTAGTAGGTCGGGTGTGTAGCATAGCGGATTTGGCGTAGGTCAGAAGTAGTGCGTAGGTCGAAAGATACACCATTAAAATACACTCCAATATTGTTATAGAGTCGTCTTCCTATTTCAAAGTTTTCTGGTTCTAACTGTATGAATTCTGTTCGATCAAATAATCTAACATGCATGCAAATACATAGGCAATAAGATAAATTAAGTTTGTGGCAAAAACTCAATTCATTTAGGATAATTTTGACGCCAAAGAAGAGTTTAAAGAGAGCTTGATCGGAAAAATTGGAAAATCTGCCATGAAAAACCTCTCGATGAAAGAAGAAGAGTTCTATGAGGTAGAATAAAAATAAGTCTAAACACGGTGGAATGATGTCAAAAATTTTACAATCAAAGACAAGCATTTGTTAAAGCAAAATCCTTTATCGTTGTGTATGGAGTTTGGAAAATTCTTGAACTAATCATCACCAAATATCTCCGGATATTGTTGTACTGTGCTGTCACTAAACTGGTGTAGACATACTTCACAAATTTGTGGTCTATTACTTTTGGGGCCCTGGAGCTTCTTTTAGTAAAACAGTATTTTAAAATTAAGTTTTCAAAGACTTTCAAACCTTAATAAAAACACTTTTATTTTGAACAAAAATTCTAGACGAGGGGATAGCCCCCCCCCCCCCCCCCCTACTAAAACCGTGAAAAATTAAATTTTGCCCCCCCCCCCTGCCCCTGACAAAAGTGATAATTGCGCCCCTGCACGTTGAGTCACTATAGCTACCAATGTCGGTTCAAATCATGAGTCACGTCGATATAAAACTACATGAGATCTACTTCAAATCAGTGATTTAAGATTTTAACCGGCAATAGGTAGTTCAGAGATCCAGCTCAAATTCATTAAATTCAGTCCCTGTGCTGTAGGTATTTTAAATTAAAGGGTGCAACGTGCAATATTTTTATAAAGATCGTATTAAATAATTCAATTCAATTTAAACCTTTAAACATTCAGATAGTATATCCTATGATATTATCGAATTTAATTCGATCCATTCATAAATATTTGATATTTCATAATATTTTTGTTGTTTTGTATACAATGTACTTTAATTGATGATTTTTTTTGATCGCCACAGGTGAAGCACCGAGAGCAGAGACACCAATAAATAATCGTAGTTTAAAGAATATTGTATATGAAACAGTTAAAAAATATTATTACATAATAATTATTTACGAATTCATCATATTGAATTCGACGTTAGCCTATCTATAACCCTTTTATTTTTCTTGAAAACTTCCATTAACCTTTTGTTTTGTCAAAAGGGAATGGGAGCATATTTTGTGAAGATTGCCAAGGACTATGGATATGAACAGACCTTGCTGTTGCTTGGTCGTAGAATCAGGTTATTGGATACTTCATACTTCATATTTCATATATTTATTCAACTACAAAGCATGAGATATTACAAATAAGCAATCACAATATACTATGCAGTTTGGACCCGCCTAACCAGGGATGGTTGTTTTGAGTGGTTGGCCTGAAGTTAATTAACGATACTGAATATAATTGATTACACATATTAAGATATGTGATTGGATAGGTAAGGAGTTGATTGGAAGGAAGGAGATTGTCAGGTGATCTGTGGCAGGGTGAGATCAGAGGGATTAATGTAGAGATAAATTAAAATACAGTGTGTTAATGATGGTAGTTACAGAAACAGAAATAAGCTAATAAAGTTTCAGTTATTTTAGTTTTTTTATATAAAATTTATTCACACGATATACAGCTAGGTTTTTCGCATTTAAACCTCTCATAATTCTCAAGAGATAAATATTGATTACTCTTTGTTTAAATATTTTTGCAGATTTATTTTCTTTAAGGTCAATTTCAATTTCATTCCAATCTTAAGAAAGGAAAATTTTCTTTGCTTACAGGGACTAATTTCAAGTGACCCTGTCCCTCCATGCAAAGATGGTAATGCCCGATTCATGACTTAAATGCTTGGATCATGTATGAATTAGATATCAATGTTTATAACTTTGAAAACTTATTATTTTTTACAGTTGTTTTTCTACTAAAGTGCCTTGTGCATTACTGATTTGGAAAATTCCCATTGATTATCTAAAATATACTTTCCAGGGACTTTTTCTTGAACTTGGACAATCTCCATGATTATCTGAATACACCTTCCCAAAAATGAAGGCACCATCTTTCTTTATTGAAGGTAATGCAAATTTCTATTATCTTACAAATTAAATATTTTTGATTTACTGTACCATTCACGCTGATTAAATTTGATAAATTAAAGGGACTGTACAGGAAAAATGAAACTGTGTATAGGCTGAAACCAGAGAATCTCAGGTGTTAAATAATATCTGTAAGATTTTTCATTTTTAATAGATATAATTGATAATATTATTTATACGTCCGGAACATGTCACCAGAACTCCAACCAATGGCAGTGCAGTATTAAATTGTCACGTGTCTCCGTCTGTATCATATGACCTGTATACTGCACTGTCATTGGAGGGAGTTCTGGTCACGTGATACGGAAGTATGATTGGTATAATTTTGACACAGTTTTATGTCAATTTCTCGAGAGAAGAACATCAGATAGAACTCTTATATGTCTCAATCAACTTCTAAGATTCTAAGGTTTAGCCAATAACCCCTTTCATAGTTCCTGTTCAGTCCCTTTTTAAGCATCCCTTCAAACCAAAGTCAACTTTAGATATGTTTTTTTATTGATAACTCTTATTATTAAAGAGCTATTTGAAAAGAACATAACTATTTAAAATGTCTAATATGTAACGTTGTTAAATTTGCTTATTTAATTATAATTATGTGCAAAACCAGTGGAGCTAAGAGGCAACAAATGGATACCGTCGCATAAATTTGAGCTTCTCCTTTAGTTTAGCTTAGTTTTCATATGATTATTCAATTTTTCCTAGTTTTTCCGTTTTTCGATGAGTGAGAATAAAATTGAAAGACATCTCTTTAAGTATAAAGGTTGTTGAATTATATAGACCAAAAATTCGAATAAAAAATATTTGAAAGAACTATTGATAAATAAATAAACACACCAAGAATTGTACAGTCCGCAAACTCATACTTCTAGGGGTCAAAGTGTACTTCAATGATAAGCGGGGTGGTTTGGTGTTTTAATAGAGTGTAAAATAACTCCGGGAATGGAACTATTTGAACAACAATATTTCACTGAGCAATATATATCATATTAACGAGAATTGAAGAAGGACATGAGAAGGACTAAACTAACTTAAATTTCTCTCTACAGAACTCATGTACACCACAAGTACTCATGATGACATAAGAATAGCCAATGATCACAACCGACCTAGTTAATCTATATAATAGGAATATCTTTAAAACATCTCATGTACATTTACATCTTTCAAAATGTCGTCTTATGCGCAATCTATCTTTATCCATGAAAAATGTCGTCTTATGCGCAATCTATCTTTATCTATGAAAAATGTCGTCTTATGCTCAATCTATCTTTATCTATGAAAAATGTCGTCTTATGCGCTATCTATCTTTATCTATGAAAAATGTCGTCTTATGTGCAATCTATCTTTATCTATGAAAAATGTCATCTTATGTGCAATCTATCTTTATCTATGAAAAATGTCTTCTTATGTGCAATCTATCTTTATCTATGAAAAATGTCGTCTTATGTGCAATCTATCTTTATCTATAAAAAATGTCGTCTTATGTGCAATCTATATTTATCTATGAAAAAAACTTATGCATCTTAATGTCACGAATTAATTTTTGAAAACTTTTTTTTAAAGAGATATTTTTTTATCCCTTTGACAGGATTGAATTGTTACGATCAAATCTCGGAATTTTTCAATTGCGAAAGTTTGGTGTTGTTTGGGTTTATATTGATCTACCAGGGGTTGTAATCTGGCAGCACATTCATCCATCCACGCTTCATTAATACTGAAAAGAGGGTTGGCGAGAATCATGCTCGTTTTTTACTTGTTAATAAAACTAAATCTTACTTCAGATGAGGACCCGACGAAGCTAGTTATGCAATATAGAACTAGAAGAAGAGGATTTCATTATTTTGTCCAAGGACAGGTATAAAGAGTGTCTCAAAATGTCTGAATAAATTAATGTTATTCAGGCCTGATATGTAGAGATGTGCTCGTTGACTTTTTCTTTCATTTCATTCGAAGTCATCGTTCGTTTTCTCACTGAACGATTGTTCAAAAAATCGTTCATTCATTAAAATCATTTGTTCAAAAAAGAAAAACGATATTTTTTCAAAAATTTCTTCGAAAAATTTGGTTGTTCAGTAAAATACTATTGTTTTTAAGTTTGTTCCAAAAATCGTTCGTTTAGTAAAAAAAAACTATTGTTTTTTTAATCTTTTAAAAAATTGTTCGTGCAGTAAAAAAAAAAATATTTTTTTCGTTCGTTTTTTAAAAACTAAATTTTTTTCATTTCTGTGAACTTTCCATTTCGTTTGTCCACCATTCTTTTTTTCTGAACACCCTTTTTTACGAAATTTTGTTCATTCTCAAAAATTTCGTTTGTTCAAAAAAAAACTATGCCCTTCTCTAAGGATATGTACAGATTTGAACCGTGCTAAAATATTTGACCCTCAGATTATCCTGAACCGTTTGTATAATATTGACACGAGTCGCCTGAGATTAGGGCATATCTACCTCACACGATACTAGGCTAAGCTCCAGTGCACGGAACCCGGGTGTCTAATAATGTCTAAGAATGTCTAAGTATGTCTAAGAATGGCTAAGAATGGCTAAGAATGCATAAGAATGTCTCAGAATGTCTAAAAAGGGCTAAGATATTATAAGAATGTCTCAGGGTGTCTAAAAATGCCTGATTTTATCTAATTCTAAGAAAAGGTAAGGATATGTTTATTTAAAAAGATTATATCAGACATTACAACGTAAAATCCGTTAAATCTGTTTTATCAGGAGAATATTAAAAACAGATAGGAAGTATATACTTCTAATGTTAAATCTGTTTTATTAGAAGAATATTGGAAACAGAGAGGAAGTATATACTTCCAATGTTAAATCTGTTTTATTAGGAGAATATTGGAAACAGATAGGAAGTATATACTTCTAATGTTAAATCTGTTTTATCAGGAGAATATTGGAAGCAGATAGGAAGTATATACTTCCTATGTTAAATCTGTTTTATCAGGAAAATATTGGAAACAGATAGGAAGTATATACTTCCAATGTTAAATCTGTTTTATCAGGAGAATATTGGAAACAGATAGGAAGTATATACTTCCTATGTTAAATCTGTTTTATCAGGAGAATATTGGAAACAGATAGGAAGTATATACTTCTAATGTTAAATCTGTTTTATCAGGAGAATATTGGAAACTGATAGGAAGTATATACTTCCAATGTTAAATCTGATTTATTAGGAGAATATTGGGAACAGATAGGAAGTATATACTTCTAATGTTAAATCTGTTTTATTGGGAGAATGTTGGAAACAGATAGGAAGTATATACTTCCAATGTTAAATCTGTTTTATTGGGAGAATATTGGAAACAGATAGGAAGTATATACTTCCAATGTTAAATTTGTTTTATCAAAAGAATATTGGAAACAGATAGGAAGTATATACTTCTAATGTTAAATCTGTTTTATTAGGAGAATATTGGAAACAGATAGGAAGTATATACTTCCAATGTTAAATCTGTTTTATTAGGAGAATATTGGAGACAGGTAGGAAGTATATACTTCCAATGTTAAATCATGATTGATTTCTTTCATGTACAATAACGTTGTAATGTTTTAGCCAAAAAGTGGAATGAAAATAATTTTATTTCACTCTTAGACCCTACCCCCCCCCCCCTAACCCTTACCTCGTCATTAAATATAGGGATCTTTCAGTTTAAAGGGACTGTAAGTGTAAATTTAAGTGATCCTTTATGCAAAGATTTCTATGCCAGATTCACAACAGTACCCTTAAAACCTTTATCTGATCAATAATGTGGAAGGTATTGTCGTTTATTAGGTTTAAAAGTATTTAATTCAGTTAAGTTAGCTGTGCCTTCTTGTAGTAGAGATGCGCAAGTCAATTTTGTAGAGAAGTCACAATCGAAAATAACCAGTTTGTAAAATTATAAACTCTGATATTTAATTTATACTTGACCAGACAAAACTTTTAAGGTTACAATTGTGAATCGGACATTGCCATCTTTGCACGAAGCACTGTAAAGTACGGTTCGTTTCAAGAATCGGGCCAACGAGGGGGGGGGGAGTCCAGGGTTCCTCAAATAGTAATCACCGCCACCCAAATCTGTTTTGCGGCAAGCGCGCTCCTCAATTTGTAATCACCGTAAAATTTTGTTTTCTGTGATTTGAATTTAATGCACTTTTAACACAATTTTCGACATCTATCGGGGTTTTATGGCATCTGTATTGACTTAAACTAAATTTTCAAATTATTTTCAGATTTGTTTGGTCAACAAAAACTGAGAATCAAGGCACAGTTCATTTTAGCCGAATCTTAGATCCAATTCGCCACTTTAATGACTGCATTTCATGATTGGCGTTAAGATAATAAAAGGTCGGGCTGCCTGTTTACTAAAAATGATCTCATCCTACGCAAAGTAATATCCATCTCCATTTAAAAGATATTTTCAAAAAACCTTTACAGTGTTTAGATTTTTGTATTCGTCTACTCGAGTTCAACATCTACAACAAAACTAATTATATGCATAGAAAGAACATAAAATTTTGAAAAATTAGTCCCACCACACCCACTACTGAAAATGAAGTATTTAGTCCACTAATAATGGGTTAAAGTTTCCTATCTATATAAGGAGTTTAAAACAACATTCAGAGGAAAATGCCGCAAACATTCTTAAAGCAAAACTTGAAACTAAAAAACGTAATATATTTCTGGCACTTAGTGTGGCATATTTATTGATTTATTTTCGAAACTAAGAAGCAATAAAGAAGGCTTTAACAATATTGTACACCATAGGGCCATTACAAGAGGTCAATATGGTCTTATTTCTAAGAAATAAACGATTTAATGTTATGCTTTTTTGGGCTGATTACTATTTGAGGTGGTGAAGATTACCAATTGAGGAGCGCGATTGCCGCAAAACAGATTTGGGTGGCGGTGATTACTATTTGAGGAACTCTGGACACCCTCCCTCGGCCAACTCTAACCAGCTAGAACGAGCTGTACAGTACACATACAGATTATACCAGGCAAACCGGGCCGAAATCTAACTAGCTAGAGCAAGCTGTGCAGTAGCAGCGCACATTAAGATCATAGGCAAACCGGGCCGACATCTAGCTAGCTAGAGCAAGCTGTGCAGTACACAATACACATACAGATCATACCAAGCAAACCGGGCCGACATCTAACTAGCTAGAGCAAGCTGTGCAATACACATACAGATTATACCAGGCAAACCGGAACAGTTCCTTAAACATTGAAAAACAATCTTCTTAATTTTTTTAGGTTAAAGAAATTGCAAAAATGCTGTTTCGCAACACTGGACAACTTGATAACAAGCTAGAAGCTAAACTGCTAAAACAGGTTTTCTTATTTCATCAAACATGTCAAATCCTTTTTGCACCATCAAAAAAAACATTTAGCAAAGAAAAAATTTGAAAAAAAAATAAACTCATTCAGTAATTAACGATTTAAGTAGCAGAGGTCAGAAAAGGTTGATTCAAGACTAAAAACGAAATTTTTGATACTTTGACAAATATCTTTCCAAAAATGTCAGGGTTTTTTTTGTTTTACTTGGACGAAATATTTGTTTTGGCTTACATGAATAATTTTTTTTAAAAATCAGAGAAAACTTTAATGCTGGTGCAAGGTGGATTTCAGCATTTTCATCAAAACAGTTTCACCCAATTAGCTTTATGGAATTAAAAAATCCAGTTTTATTTTTTACTTCGAAACAAAATTTTTTTCTGACCTAAAATAAACATGGGAATTCAGCGACGATTTTGATATTGTCTTTGTAAATGATTTTCATATTTTGTATGGTGATGCCTAATAGAAAAGCTGAATTCCGTCTGCTAGAGTTCACAACTTGTTTGTTTATGTTTTTCTTGCATACTGTATTGTACTTAATAATTGCAGAAATTCGTGTATACAAACATAGTATATGTTATTTCTCTTCACTTTTTATCGTGTAGAAATGTTACAGAACATCATACAATGTTTTTCAGAATAACAAAACAGTCTTCTACCGTTTACATAAATTATACAGTGAAACCCTTAATAACGAATACATCGAAAGAATTCATCAAATGTCGTATTCTTCACTTTCTGATAATGGAATGTTGCAGATATTTAGTTTTTTTAATTAAATGATTATATGGAACTCTTCAAAACTGTTCCCGAATATTCATGGCTATTTATTTATTTTCGCAAATACTGAAATTTACGTAATAAAGTATAAAACTCATTTAAAAATTTTCAAGACGGCATTTGATAAATTCTTCAGATGTATTCGTTATTAAGGGTTTCACTGAACTCTAGCAGGCGTAACATTATTTTGACCATTGAACTTAGGTAACACAAATCTAATTCTTTACAAAGACGATTCCGAATTCGTCTCTGAATTCCCATGTTTATTGTGACACCCTGTACATTAGCGATTTTTAAATATATCAGAGAAAACTTTAGAACTGGTGCAAGGCATGGATTTGAGCATTTTTATCAAAAAAGTTTCACCCAATTAGCTTTACAGGGGGTATCTAACTGAACATGACTGTTTAGTTACGACTTAAGTGTCGTCTTTGATTTTTGAATCAATATACGAAAATCTTACTGGAATGATTCTTAAAAAATATCAATAAAATCCCCAAGTTCGGGCATATCAAAAATGATGTTTGCCTTTCTATAAAACTTTTTTTTTCATCTTTAATAATGCCAAAGAATTGAAAGCTTGAAAGTCGTGGCATTTTTCTAAAACACACTCTGTCCTTTTACATACAATGTTCCCCACCAAGGATGAGACTGTTCGGAATTTATATTGTTGTTTCCTTTAATCATATTTAGCTGCAACTAAAACGTATTTCTTTCTTTGTTCAATCAATAAAAACTTAATATTGGAACTTGGATTCATCATATTTGTGTTTCAGGTCGTCTTTACAGTCTCATCGTTTGTTTGTAACCCGTAGCTATCAGAGAACAAATGCAATCTTTAAATAATATATTTTTGCTGTCATGTTAAGTAGAACACCCAGTATAACATTAACAAACAATAAAATAATAGACATTTTAACCTTTAGGAAATAGTTTTTGACACTGCAGTGTTCCATTTTGAATTGACGTTTAAGAATAATGGATATCAAGAGTATCTACAGGCAAAAGAAACCAGGTCTGGAAAAATATTTAAAGGGACCGTCCAGGGTATTTCAAGGGACCCTACATTAATAAAATGGCATGTCGATTCACAACGGGTTCGATGAAAGCTTTGACTGATCATGAATGAATGAGATATCAATGTTTTCTTGTTAAAATTTACTTATTTTCGATTCATGGTATTCTCCATAATTGGGATTTAATTTTCAGATTAAAAAGACTTTTAAGCTAAAAACCCAACGAAATCTTTCATATTATTGATCAGGAAAAAGTTCTAAAGGTACGTTTATGAATCAGGTATGCCCATCTTTTAGCGGAGGGTCACTTGAAGTAACAACGAAAAGTTAATATTTTTTGGGATTACTTTTTTTTGGTTTTCGAATTTTGAGAGCGAAACGATAAATCATAACTGACTTCATCATCAACTTTTAAATATAATTTTATTATTGTCAACAGGAAAAAGGGGTATAGGCAGTTAACATATTTATAATACAAAAAGTTTCGGATTATTCCTCTTCAGTTAGAAAACATAGTTAAACTTTTGTTTTACTATAATAATTGTGAATTATAAATTGATACATACATACCATATATGTATATGGTATCTAATTAACCTAAAAACTGCTGAACTGATCGGGCTCTATTTTTTGTGGGATCTTACATCATCCGGGGAATGTTCAGAATTTTAAAAATTAGCCTTAAAAATTTAGATGTTTCTAAACACACGAAAAAATATTAAAACATCCATAATTTTTTGTTATTGTTTGATGATTTTAAAAGCGAAAAGTTGTTGCAGATAGTGCAACAATTTAAAGTTAAAGCCTAAAAAAAAGGTAAATAAAGTAAAAAATTATGGCTTTTGTTCTGATTATTATATGATGCCAAAATCATATTTGATTTTTAACAGTCTTTATTGTCTTTTATTTCAATATTTATAACTTTATGATATTTATTATTTTAATATTTGTAACTTTATGATATTTATTATCTTAATATTTTTAACTTTATGGTATTTATTATTTTAATATGTGTACCTTTATGATATAATTATTATCTTAATATTTATAACTTTATGGCATTTACTATTTTAATATTTGTACCTTTATGATATAATTATTATCTTAATATTTTTAACTTTATGGTATTTATTATTTTAATATGTGTACCTTTATGATATAATTATTATCTTAATATTTATAACTTTATGATATTTATTAATTTAGATCAATTTCGTCGATGCCAATCAAGGCTAATATCCTTTTTGAAATGTTCCCCTTCTGTATACTTTTTCAGGTACAAACATACATGCTATTTACAAGTCAATAAAATAAAAATAAATGTATAGTTAAATTCTAGAAACCATTATAACTTAAAGAGACTGTAAGCGTAATTTTAAGTGACCCTAAATTTAATTAACAACGAGTATGAATGAGATTTCAATGTTAACAATATTGAAAATTTGTTCTTTTTATTGTGGTTTTACTACAAAAGTGACTTGCGCATGTCTACTGCGTGAAAATATATTGGAGCTTTTAGAAAAGAACACTAGAAGATTAAAAAAGAATTATCTTCCAAATTTTTAGTAAGGGGTACCGTTGTGAATCGGGCATTGCAATTTTGAAACTGCCATTACAGTCCTTTTATTACTCTAAAAGTTATTATTTCCTAAAATAAAGCATCAAGAGTTTGTTTGTCCAACTCCTTTGAAGGTGAAAGTTTAAAAAATCAAAGTTGCAATTTGGAAAAAAATGTTCAAAGGTCCTGTTCTTTCGTTTTTTATTCTTCTGGGCGTTCTGGACTTTGTACAATTCAAAATATTTCCCTTTTACCCTATATCTGATCATCAATGGTGTGGAAAACATGTTTGTTTTTCTAGATTAAAGTGTTTAATTTTGACAAATTCCCCCCATTATTAGTGTAGCATAAATCCACAAGTTAATTTGACAAAGAAGCCAAAACCAAAGATAATTAGAGTTGAAAGAACTTGGATATTTCATTCATTCAAAAGATAACTGTTGTGAATTGGACCATCCCCACTGCAAATAGAGGGTTTCTCAAAATATCGGATAAAGTTCCTGTAAAAGTTTCAAGGTGTAAATCGACTTGATTTAAGAGTGATATGGTGAAGTAAAGAATATGGGATCTGCTCTAAGGAATTATACAGAGTTACCCACAAAGGATGAGACTGTAAAGACGACCTGAATTTTTATAAATCTGAAAATTCCATGGTTGAATTAAGTTCTTCTAAATCTTTTGATGGTTTTTCAATGATAAGGTAATGAAAGAACTAGCTTTGTAGATGCCTGGAATCATCCATATAAGGAAACAGACAGTATACATTCCGTACAGTCGTCTATGAAGACTCATTCTTTGTGGGTAACCCTGTATAAAGTGTGATGCTCTTAGAATGAAATGGTGGTTAAGAATATGGGATCTGTTCTAAGAAATTGTAAAACGATTATGATTTTAGAAATGATATGGTGGTTAAAAATATAGGATCTGTTTTAAGAAATTGTAAAACGATTATGATTTTAGAAATGATATGGTGGTTAAGAATATAGGATCTGTTCTAAGGAATTGTAAAACGATTATGATTTTAGAATGATATGGTGGTTAAGAATATAGGATCTGTTCTAAGGAATTGTAAAAATATTATGATTTTAGAATGATATGGTGGTTAAGAATATGGGATCTGTTCTAAGGAATTGTAAAAAGATTATGATTTTAGAATGATATGATGGTTAAGTCTATGGGATCTGCTCTAAGGAATTGTAAAAAGATTATGATTTTAGAATGATATGGTGGTTAAGAATATGGGATCTGTTCTAAGGAATTGTAAAACGATTATGATTTTAGAATGATATGGTGGTTAAGAATATGGGCTCTGCTCTAAGGAATTGTATTCCTCAAATGGTGGGCAGGAAACTGACTGAATACTTTGAACTCATTAAACCTTTAATAGATTTCAAATATGAGGTAATCAAATTTTAGTAAGCTTATTATTGGTTAATAACTAATTGGTGTAAGCGTACACTTAAAGATTTGGTTATATACCCAACTTTATATGCATGAGTCCTTACCAAAACATATGGTTTCTATATCTAAATGTTTGGCTTTTATATCTAAATATATGGTTTCTATATCCAAATGTTTGGTTTTTATATCCAAATGAATGGTTTATATAACCAAATGTTTGGTTTATATATCCAAATGCATGCGTCTATACCCAATGGTTGGTTTTTATATCAAAATGTTTGGTTTATGTATCCAAATGCATGGGTCTATATCAAAATTTATTGTTTCTTTATCCAAATGAATGGTTTCTGTATCCAAATATATGGCTTCTGTATCCAAATGCATGTGTCTGAATCCAAATGTTTGGTTCATGTATTCAAATATATAATTTCTATATAAAATGAATGGTTCTTATATCCAATTGTAAATCCAAATATATAGTTATTTCAAAGTATAAGGTTTATCTTTTCTATATCCAAAAATATGGTTTTCTACCAAACTATATGGATTTTTTATCTAAATATGTGGTTTCCATTTTTTACATTAGGTAATAGAATCAAGAATAAACAGTATGTTTGAGCTTGCTACCCTTGATGAAATTGACAAATTAAGGTAATTTCGAAAAATATTCAACGTTACAACTATAGTACAACATGCTCAAGCTTTAAGATTCGAAAATTAAGTTTAACAATGTCGATATTGCGGATTTCTATAGCATAAAATTAAGAAATTTAATTCAAAAAATTTCTATTGAACCATGTTTAAGGTTAGAATTATAGAATTATACCATTTGTACCATGCAATTCTTTAATTCAAATACTACTACTCTACCTTCATGTTTTGACCATGCATTGGCAAATCAGGCATAATACCACAGAAGCAGGGGTTCTTTAAATTGATGACTCATATATGACATAAAAACATTTTTCTAAAAAAATGTGTAACATTAATGCATGTAAAAATGTATTTAATGTGTATTATGTAAAAGAAATTACTAAAATTCTAAAAGTGGTCCTAACGGTTTACTTTCAGTGTACAATGTTTAGGCCATGTTGACATAGTGGTAATCAACAAAACTGGTTCTTCGGAATATTTGTGGAACTTTAGTTTATAACGCATTCAATCATTTTATTAAATTCAAGATTTCCAACAGCTTTAATTTTGTTTCTTAAAAAGCACAAAACCATATTTAACTTTCTGATCTTTAAACAGGGTGAGTGCGGCATTCGTAGACCAAATTAAAATCAACTTTTATACATAAAGGAAATGACTTTTTAAATTGTAGTTTTTTCCATTGTATATATTATTAAATTAATTAGCTGATCCAAATTTAATCGGATAGGATAAGGGGTGTGTCAGCAATGACCAACAGATTAGTCATTGTAACAATGTTGCGCAACGGCAAGACTAGAAGGTAGATTCAGCCTTCAGGCAAGCACAGGACTCTACGAGCACGTGTGTTTTGAAAATTAAAATGTTAAAAATGTTTATTTAATGCTGGAGACCAGCCAGAGAATTTTTCTTGCAAGAAGGAAAAAAATTGGCACCATAGCAATTTTTACAGCAAGGAAATCGCCGATAGCGTGCAAATCATGGTCAATGACAACCTTGGCCCTTCCATCTGGGATATTGTGAGGTTGCTGGGCAGTATCAATTGGGTGGTGAGGGAGATTGTGAAGGAGGAGATAGGGTACAAATTATACATCCACCAAAAGTGTAAGTTTATTAGCCATGCAGTGAAGATGAAAAGGATGGTGTGCATGGCGCAAATGAAGTACGCCAGGGACACAAACTTGTGGCCCCTCAGCTACCCAGATTTGAATCCCATCGTTTGCTATTTATAGTCCTCGGTCAAGAAGAATGTCAATAGAACCCCATACAACACAACACAGTCCCTGATCACTTAAATAACTAGAGTATTTAATGATATGCCATGCTCAAAGGTCGTCAGTGCCTTCTCTGCCTTCAGGAAAAGAGTGGAGTAGGTCGTTGATGCAAAATGCGTTATGTTGGTTATAACTAAATAAACATCCTTTTGAAAAAACTTTATCAAAAATCAGTTTTGGAGAGATTTCAATTTTGTCTAGGAATGTCAAATACCATACGCACCCTGTACTTAAGAAGTTTTAGGTCTCCATTCAAGTCTTTTTCATTGCGGGTAACCCTGTACATACAACATACCTTTACTCAAAACAATCATTTCTGAACAAATATAAAAAAAATTGCTTGAAATCAAATCATTATTACAGGTCAGGTGGTGGAACTGATAGTTCTCATTCAGCTATAACTAGTGAACTCTTAAATCTGGATGAGACTGATAAGACTCTTCATATCAAGGTTAAAGATACAATTTTATTGGTTTGTTTGTTTGAGGGCTATTTTGAGAATAATTACTTCTGTAATTGGAAAGTTATTGGGACTTGTCAAGAAAAAGATAATTATAAGGGGTCTCAAATAAAAAAAGTTCTGTAAAAATGCTCCAATGATAGTAAATGTATATGTCTTATCTTTTCATTTACAAACATTGTATTAAGTACCTTGCATTGATTAAAAATAATTCTATTATAAATACTTTTCCTGTTCATCTCATTTTCCATGAAACAATCCAATAAATCCACTAAATTGGGCAATTTGGAGAAGACATTGTGTTCAAAGGTTACATAGAAAACGTAAAAATTGCAAAAACAAACATATACTTTATCGCTTTTTTACAAAGATTACAATGGATTTAGGATAGTCTAGATATATAAATAGCTTAATCATTAATCGCAAGAGGTTCATGCTGTAAGTTTAGTTTTCCGGAACCCCTTCATCCCTAATAACCCACTGTAATGGCACTGCTCTAATGAGTAGTCATGTAAAATTATGTTTACACCCCATCTGAGTTACAAAATGGATAATCTCAATCTCATTCTAGGGACAAATGGTTTACATAGATGCGTGGAAACTAATGCTCTTCCTTGCCTGTCCCATTATGAAAGGACTTGGCAGTTTGATCTATACTGGACTTTTTATCAATGAGCTAAGGTTTGTATCGTCTTCATGTTAAGTTGCCACAATGTTCATTAACTTTTGCCCAAATTTATTCTTTTGTGATTTCTCTTGTTTTACATATTTTTTTATGTTGTTATGGTATGGGGGATTTTAGATAGATTTCATGGCTGAATTGGCTATGGAAATCTTTAGAACATGAAGAATGATAGCTGTTTATATTTAGTTTTTTTTGTAAAAAATAAAAACTATCAGAAGTTTTCCCAAAACTTATTTAACCCAAAAACAGAGATGTAACATATCATAAGAATTAAATTTGGTAGCACTAACAGCCAAAACTAAATATTCTCATATAATAGTATGCATGACTACTCTCGGGACATAATGCTTGCAAATGCCCAAACAGACATGGAAGAAAACCTGAAGAAGATGCAAAGCAACCAGGAGGTAGGAAACCTCATATAGGACTTCATGAGCAAATTGATATAAACATTGTTTCCAGGTTGATGCACACAGGAAAATTGAGCAGAAATCCACAACTCTGAAGAACAAGAATGATGAGCTTGGATACATGTTCCTCCCAACCCCGGTAAAATTAAAAAATAATAAGGATATAGAAATCTCTGTTTACAGAAGGTCAAAACTTGTGTAAGATAACTCTTTGATGAGTGCTCAGAGAGTAACTTTCCCTCTTGTCAACAGTTCATCTTTATTTTGCAGTTTGGTCTTAGTCCCAGCAAGCTCTGATGTTCAATCACAATTTGACCTATTAAACAAAAATCTATTGCCTTTTCTTGTCTATACTTTTCTGTTGGTGGTAGGAAACATTTTAAATGAAGAAATATTAAAATAAAATTTCATAAGTTTAAGACTTTTAAAATAAAGACCAAAAACATAGTTAATTTCAAATTGATGATAAGGTGACGTGAGAGGTTGGAGTCCTCATTAGTGCCCAGGATGGAGGCTCTTTCAATGTGTCATTTCAAAGTTTTTGGAAGTGGTACATTGTTAAATTTCTGATGTTTTATCCCATCAGAAATATTCTCAATGTTTAAGATTGCGGTTGAGTTACTTCAAGGAAACGATCCCTCAACAATGGTGAAAAAATGTGAAAAAGTCAGTACAATGTTGGTTGAAGTAGATGATCTTGGTACGATGGTGAGGTGAAATTTTAAAATTTACTCCATAAAAATTGTATTATGGTTTAGACTACAAAAGGCAATATTAAGAAGGAAATAGCTAAGTTAAGATTTTGGGTTAGGATGAAGATTAGCATTTTCCTGATCTCCAGTTCATACAGTATCCATTTTCCTGATCTCCAGTTCATACAGTATCCATTTTCCTGATCTCCAGTTCATACAGTATCCATTTGGTTTCCAAATAATTAAATTCTTTGAATTGTTTAGCCATGTGAAGAATCCAATGGATGTTGTAAACTTCATGAACAATTTGCAGTCCATATTTGATGATCTTGTAAAGAAACATAAATGTTTCAAACATGAGAAAAGAACTGAGTACATGGTGGAGACAGGGGCTTCAGCAGAGGTATAGAAAGATCTTCTTTTCAAAATTGTTTATCTCAATAAATTGCAATAATGCTTTCTAAAATGTTTAGGTAGAGAACCCAGCTGAGATAATGTCTGATCTAGCTTTAGATATAATGGAAGCTAGTGCACTTGCTTTAAGAGATCCGTCTAATCCTAAGAAAGGAGTCAAAATAAAGGTTACAGATATAATTTTATTGTAGAATTGGATTAAATTTATATATTTTACCACCTTTTGACCAATATTAAGGACCCATGATTTTCCCAATAGATGGATGTAAAGTTATTTGACGCCCTGCCCTGCTCTGCAAAGTTTTGGTGAAAAATATTGCAAATTTGTATTTTAAGAGATGATGAAATTGTGTACTACTAAACACTTTTTCAGGAAATTAAAGACTTAACTTAACCATAGGTTCCCTCAATCCTTAGAGAACTCTTAGTAAAGTAAACTTTCCTGTAAAGTAATTGTAAATAATTATTAGATAACTATTGGTACTGGGCCAGTGACTTGTACAGTTTCTGGGAGTGTAATACCAACTTTTAATGTGTATGGAGTGCCAGTTCAGCAAACCTCTCTTCTTATGGATGAATGCAAAGGAAATGAGGTAGGCTCATGTTGTTAATAAGAAATTTCTAGGAAATTATTTCTACTTTTAAGAGATTGATATTTTTAGTCAGAAATGTTGCCTTTTATAGATTTTAATACCTTTAATTCAGGGTTACACTCAAGACATGAGACTTCAGAGATGACTATATGGATTTCATACTGTTTGTTTCCTTACATTCATGATTATCTTCAACTGTTCCCTTTAAAATCACTTAAGGATTATAAAAAGAGTATTTTCCAGGCAGTAGACTTAATTTAACATTGAAGTTGTCATTTTGAAAGAGTTTCAGATCATTCTTTTACAGTCTCATCCTATGTGGGTTGGCTGTCCTATTTATGCTGTCAAAAGGCTGAAAAATAGTTCAGATTTGTACAATTTGAAAAATTAACTTATGGATGACTATTTCTGTTAATTCTTTTCTGTAATCAATTTGAAAATTTGCATTTAATTAGTCTTATTTAGATCTTGATAGAGGACACTACAAAGGCCTTGCTATCTCCACTCTTTAAGATTAAGGAAAACAAATCTATAGATGGTATTGGGCTGTCCTATTTCATTCAGGTAAAAACTGATTTCTTAAAGAGACTCTACATGCAAAGATGATAATGCGAATTCAGATACCATTATATAATAAATAATGTGGAAGATATTGTCGTTTTTGCAGCTTGAAAAGCTTTTAATTTTTACATTTTTTATATGATTCCTGCAGTAGAAATGTGCATCCTAGTTCCTATTGTATAGGAACTACAATTGAAAACAATCAGTTTTCTATATTATAAACATTAATTTATAATTCATACTTGAACAGGCAAAGCTTTTCAGGGTATCGTTGTGAATTGGGCATTGCCATCCTTGCAAGGAGGGTCACTTGAAATCAAATTTACACATACAATCCCATTTAAATACCAACCACAAGTATGACTGTTGTTTACCAGGGTAAAGCAGAGAGAAAGTCTTTGAAATTTTCTGACCTGAAAACAGTTTCCTCAGTATCAAAGGTAAGATGTTTGGACAATTTAAAAGTTTTAACTGTTGCTCCAAGAGTTGGCCATTTTAAATCAATCTCAAATTTTGGTGGATTGTTTTATTCAAATTGGCCCAATTTCCAGGAAATATTTATTTTTTAATTTGATGGTTCATAAACCTTCCCTTGGGTCATGTGAGTCACACACAAATTTGGGCCCCATTGGTTTAGCTGTTTTGACGTACAATGATACAGACAGACAAACAGACAAGTAAAATGTATATATTTATTATATTTAAATAGATTGTTTTTGTAAAGGTGGACAATGAGGGAGATTTCAGTCAATCCACAGAAGCTAAAAGTGAACCAGGTAAGTGAATTACTTGTTAATACCAAAAAGCGTAGATGTTAATATATCAGTAAATATCATTGAAGGAACTGCTGCTGCTATTCGGAGAGTCTCAGTGAGTCAGCAGCAGTGCTGTGCTGGAACTATGAAAAGCGGAGTTTGTACAGTTATCTAGTTAATATAGAAAATATCTTGTTCTCACTATACTAAAATAAAAAAAGGGCAATCAACAACAACACAGAAAAATCGGTGCAACTTTGTCCAAAGTAGTAGATAACTTTCTTGGTCCAATTTCAAAAGATTTCTTTAGTTTAGATAGAGAAAGAAATAGAAAATAACACAGAGGCGGCTTAAGGTGGTGAAAATAATGTAAGCCACCCTTTAAATTACATTCAATTCTAAGATAACCCATTAAGGTGGTGAAAATAATGTAAGCCACCCTTTAAATTACATTCAATTCTAAGATAACCCATTAAGGTGGTGAAAATAATGTAAGCCACCCTTTAAATTACATTCAATTCTAAGATAACCCATTAAGATGGTGAAAATAATGTAAGCCACCCTTTAAATTACATTCAATTCTAAGATAACCCATTAAGATGGTGAAAATAATGTAAGCCCCCCTTTAAATTACATTCAATTCTAAGATAACCCATTAAGGTGGTGAAAATAATGTAAGCCACCCTTTAAATTACATTCAATTCTAAGATAACCCACAATCTGTTTAGCATTTTATAGTAAGCTTGAAGTTCCTAAATTACTATTAAGAATTGTAAATTTGTCTAATAAACTGTATCTACAAATCTTAATGTTTGCTGTATTAAGCAAGCTTTGCACTATTTGGGTAATATCATTATGTTATAATAAAGTGTTAATATTATCAACAATTTCTATCAAAATAATGTACTTTATTTGCTAAAAGTTTCAAATAAAAACTAATTGAAAAAAAATTATTTTACATAAAGAACATAATCATCAGGTTCTTCTACAGAAATCTTGCTTTCTCTCACAAACCCAGAGTTTCTACAAAAATAGTGTTTAATCATCTATCTATATATTCCCAGTCCCCATTCATACTTTAAAGTATGATTTCATTTGCAATATGTGGCAAAAATAGCACAAAACTTCAACTGTAGCCTGGTAACTTCTCTGTTCAAATTCAAAATTTGTCTTGTTGCATGCCACAACAAAAAATCATTTTGGTTGACAAAAAAATATTTTCCAGTTTCTCCGTTGTTATGGATATCATAAGAATGATACTAATTTTGCGCATTATTGGGCTTAATATTATGCTATGGATAACAAATATTGTACATTTTCTCAAAGGCTTTAGTTTAGTATAGAAAACAGCCAAATGAGAAGCCATTTCCATTGTCCATGGGCCCAGAGTGTCTCTTATTTCTTGTAATTAAAGTTGTTACCTTAGATCAAATTCTCTTGCTAGATTTGGATCTGTTTGCCAACATTCATCCTCTAAACGTTGATAGTTTAACCCTGCCTGGAATCCACCTAAAGATATTTGAATCTGAAAGCTAACATTGTGCTCCGTTTTTAAGAGACAAAGGTACAAAGCAAAAAATAAATATTCTATTAAATTATTTGCTCTATAGCAATTAAGGCTATTTAAGAATAATTACAGATTCATTTTCGATTTTGAAAGTGCTTAGATCTTGTATTCACATAGAAATTAAAAATAGCTGAGAGAAACAGCCAGTGCTGCAACTAAGGCAAGAATAAACATGCTCAGAAATACTTTATTTCTGGGAACATACTCGCAGCCATTAAAAATACACTATATATAGAGCGTACAATATCATATTAGATTATCTTCAAGCTTTCACGACTAAATACGCACATAATACTCGAAAAACCTAATATTTTTTGCATGCAAATCTTTATATTAGCAATATTTGATTCTTTTTTAATTTAGATTTTCTGATTAGTCCCGGAAATCTTGTAGATAAGATACCATTATTTGGTTTTCATTCTAACTACAATGTTTATAGTTTCTTTAGATGGTTTCTATTCTTTCCTTCAAGTGATAGTTTATAATCTTCCTCCATATTTATTTGATATAGGGTTTAACAGCTATATTATTAAAAAAGATTTTTCTTTTTCATATCTCACCTTTGTTATCCCTATCTAATGCTGCAGAAAAAGATACAAAATATATTATTAATGTTATTTAAATCCTCATCTAATGAAATAATTTTATTATTACCTAAAGACTGTCATGCTAAAAAAATACAGAGACATTTAATTTTTACCATGTAGGGTTGTGTCAATCTTAGAAAATAAATTATTCAATAATATTTGACCATATGAACACCTAGAAATAATAATATACCAAGACAAATATAAAAACTTCCATTGGAAAAAAACCCTTTTCAAATTTATGTACTTATTACAAAAAGTCCTTAAATTAAGAAAATTTAAAAAAAACTTAAACACAATATTGTTAAATAAATTACCTTGTGAAACTGAAGAAATAACCTCATGACTTTGTCTGGACATCCATCGTAGCTTGCTGTGGAATGAGTAAACACTAAAGAACATTTAGTTAGCGATACTATATGAGCTTTTCAAATTTTGGACTCTGGCTGGATGAATGAAAAGAATGTTTAATATTTAGTGCTTGAGATTAGTAAGTAAAACTAGAGCTGGGAACTTATGTATTATCCATAATCTCTATCGTTCAATCTTGATATCCACTTTTGAATTTTACGCAGAATCTGCTTTAAATCTTGATCTTGGATATCTGCAATTTCTCACTTCTCTAATTGGTTAAATGTAAAATTCCATGGCTTCTGATTGGCTATTTGTTTCCCAAAGACAACACTCTTTACAAGAAATCAACTACAGATTAAATTAAACCGTAGATTAAAAAGATCGAGATCTTAAGCTTAATCTTGATATCCACGGTTCAATGGTTCCTAAATCTGCTAGTTACTGTGAATAAGATTGCTGTAGACAAGGCCGTACTCTGAAGTACTGTCCGAGATGAACTCACAAGAATCAAGAATTCTTTTGTCGAAAATATCCACACCATGTCTAACATTTCTTATCCCATTTTTTATCATAATAGCGGAATTTTATATTTCCAACCTTATCAATCCACAACATAACTTTTCAGATAAATATGTAATAAGTAGTAATATGCATAATATTAGGGAGAAAGAAAAGCAGAAATGTGTGTCAAAATGCATATTTCCCTTGTCTACAAGGGATTAGAATGGGTAGATTTACAAGAGAGGAACAAAAAACAGATGTTTGATCAGCTAAAAAGAAGATAAACAAGTCAGAGAAAAAATTCAATGCTCTTTTACAAATTTTGTTTTTAAAAGATATATTTACAAGAATCCCATGCTTGTCATATGAAAGCTTAAAGGGAATTATTTTAAGTGACTACATTTAAAGAGGGACACCCCTGATTCTCAAATGTACCCGTCAAATATTTAAATGATCATCGAGGACAGAGAACTCAGAGGATATGTCTTCTAAATGTTGTGATGTTGTGTAAAAAGTCGTAAAATTTAAGATTACACGTAATCGTTAACATGTGTGGGAACTCAGCGCAGATGCCATTGCACAATAATTCCTGGAAACCAGAATATTTTATATCCACCAAAGTGTTAAACAAAACATTAATATTCCTTCAATACAAAACAGCTTGCAAACAAATTGTTCAACACTGGTTCTGTAAGAGTACCATTGTAAATTGGGCATTGCCATCTTTGCAGGGGCGGATACAGGATTTAAGTGAGGGAGGGGCAAGATTTTTTAGAAACAAAAAAATTCATAATTAGGAACCAAAAATTTTTAGGCGAAAAATTTTTTTCACTTAAAAAACTCAAAAAGATTCAAAATTAATGACTCAAGACTAAACAACTAGATTAACTTTTCACACATTATAGTTTATTAAGACAGTTATTTTTCCTGTTTTGCACTAGGGTTTCTTTCCCTTCAGCATGCTTGAGAAGCTATTCTGAAACAAGGAACAAAAAATTCCAAATTAAGGGGGGGGCTACGCCCTTCCCTGAATCTGTCAGAGGGGGGCGAATGTCCCTCCGCATCCCCCCCCCCACCTGTATCCGCCCCTGCATCTTGAAAGTGAAACTTCACTTTTAGTCCCTTTAAATGTGTTACCAATAAAAAGGACAAGTCTGTCATCCTAAATCAGTCATTGGTTTATTTAAATTACACTTAAAGTCCCAATCTCATGATTTAGTTTCATGTCTAAAATTTTCAAATTTCCGATAAATTCTTGAAAATATAAGATGATTAATATTGGAAAGAATACCTGAATATGAAATATGCTCCTAGGGCATAAAGTAGAGAAATCAGAAGTAGACCTATGAATGTCCTGAAAAATAATACTAAAGGAACAATAATTATGAGGTTCAAGGACAAAATTAAATTAATCAACAGCATTTTTTTAAGCAATATAACTTCAATTATTATTGGGCCTGGCATTTTGTTAAACCACTTTTTGTCAACTGTTAAATCAATGTTGAAGAATAACACTTTTTAATGAGGAACGTAATGTTTGGCTAATTTAGAAAAACCTTGCGGTCGCAACAAATCAGACGACGTGGGAAAGTCTTAAAGGGACTGTAAGCATTTCAAGATAAGCTCCTTGCAATAATATGGGAATTCACAACAGAACCCTTTAGAGCTTTGTCTGATCAAGTATGAATTATATATCCATGTTGTTGATTCTTTAAACTGATTAGTTTTTCATTTGAGGTTTCTCTGCAATTGTGACATGTGCGTTTCATAAGAAGCAATGAAGAAATTATCAGAATTAAGCAGAAAAATTATGGTATCTTCATCATGTTTGATCAGATTAAGCCTTCAAGAGCAGTGTTGTAAACAGGGCATTGCCATCTTTGTATTGGGGGTCACTTGAAATAACACTTTCAGTTCCTTTAACTATGTGTTACCAGCCTCCATTTCTTGACATATGTAGAAGGAACTGTAGCGCACCTCCCGCCATCTCAATACACTCCTCAACCAGCCAGGGTACAAGGAACCAAGGACGGCCCTAGACACATGTCTTTGTTTCTGTAAAAATAAACTTTTTGTTTTAAGAGGAGTGTGACCACAAAAATAAAGGGGGTATTATAAAATCTAGAGTTGAACTTGGAATCGACTTGTAATAATCAATTTTCCATATATCTGCTATTGGAGTAATGAGATAATGGTTAAGAAAAAGAACACATTTGTCGCTGACTATATTTTACTGGATTCTGCGGGACCGTTCACTTATTTGGGTAATTTCAGGGTTCACTAAATAGCTTATTAGCTATTGATTAGTTTGGTCTTACTTTTCAAAGATAACTGTGGCCGGAGAAAAAGCCGAATTCGAATATTAATTAAACTGTAGTTTTTGTTTTAACTTTCTATTTCTAACATAACTTTTGTTAGTGCATTGAGCAATTTTATATTGCTTCTCTGTAAAATGCTGAATAGAACGCGGCATGAAAAATAAAAGGCTGCATGCATAAACGGGATTATAAATTATAATTGGTTGAAAATAAATTAGACCATGATTCAGGGATGTCATCGTCTGAGGAGGGGGGGGGGGGGCGGAACTAGGATTTTCAACCTTTCTGGCAATAACGGATATCGGTTGGAGCACTGACAGAAGCTATGTATGTGTGGAGAGAGCCGAAAAGAGAGCAGTTCTCCCATCTCGCTCCGAAAGTAAAAAGAAAGTAATTATAGGGCCAACAAATTAAAACAGCCTACGCTGGTTAGGCGTGTCCAAATTGCATAGTAAATTTATTTGCATTATAATCTCGTGCTTTGTAGTTAAACATTAATAAATAAAAACTACCTATCAAGTATATTAAAGCCAATGTTGAATTTTTATAAAAGTGTAGTATAAACTACTTTCTTATTTGCTATAGAGGAAATTAAGATAAATACAATACATTAATTAACATTTTTTTAAACTGATAAATCAGTAAACCAATTAACTTTACACTTTTGCAACATCGTAGCTCCTCTAGTTTTGATTTTGTGACACAAAGTTATTTGGCTACATGCTAGAAATTAAAAATAATCTAGTTTTCTCAAGACCTCTTCCATAAGAGGAGTATGATTGAAAAGAAAATAGATTGTTTACGTGTAATTTTGCTTTAGTTTGACGTAATTTTATGTAATTTTATGTAATTTTATGTAATGTTATGTAATTTTATGTAATTTTTTGTAATTTTATGTAATTTTATGTAATTCTATGTAATTTTGTTAATGTTTTATATTAACTTACACTTCTAGCTCCCATGATGAGGAGGCTAGAGCAGCATAATCGGAACAATGATGATATCATAACTAAACAAATATCAATAATTATAAACCTTTTTTTGAATCAATTGAAAAAAGATCAATTTTTAGATTGGCAAGTCCATTTACATCAGTATCCCTAAAAGCTTTGACTGATCAATATCCTTCATTTCTAGCGCTATTCTGTGTAAGAAATTGTTAAAATTAAACATTTTTTCAAAGCTATAAAAACAAAGATATTTTCTACATTATTAATCAGATACAGGTTAAAAGGGTGCTGTTGAGAATCATTCATGTTCCTCTTTTAATGAAAGATCATTTCAAATTCAAATTCTCTCTAATTTGTCTTTTTTGTTAATAATTCGTGAAACTATTGGTAGTTGGCATTAATCAAAAATAAAATATTTACCTTCCAATCCTTCATTCTGAATAAAATATTTACCTTCCAATCCTTCATTCTGAATAAAATATTTACCTTCCAATCCTTCATTCTGAATAAAATATTTACCTTCCAATCCTTCGTTCTGAATATTTACCTTCCAATCCTTCATTCTGAATAAAATATTTACCTTCCAATCCTTCATTCTGAATAAAATATTTACCTTCCAATCCTTCATTCTGAATATTTACCTTCCAATCCTTCATTCTGAATAAAATATTTACCTTCCAATCCTTAGTTCTGAATATTTACCTTCCAATCCTTCATTCTGAATAAAATATTTACCTTCCAATCCTTCGTTCTGAATAAAATATTTACCTTCCAATCCTTCATTCTGAATAAAATATTTACCTTCCAATCCTTCGTTCTGAATAAAATATTTACCTTCCAATCCTTCGTTCTGAATATTTACCTTCCAATCCTTCGTTCTGAATATTTACCTTCCAATCCTTCGTTCTGAATATTTACCTTCCAATCCTTCATTCTGAATAAAATATTTACCTTCCAATCCTTCATTCTGAATAAAATATTTACCTTCCAAATCCTTCGTTCTGAATAAAAATATTTACCTTCCAATCCCTCGTTCTGAATAAATCTGAGGAGTTGGTAAAAATTGTGAGTATCTTTAGAAGTAGTGGTAGAAGTAGTATTATCCACAGCTTCCACAGATCTCTTCTTTCGGTTCAGGTCATCCAGGTTTAGGTCATCCATGTCCTCCAGATGCCTCTGTTCATCCTCTACCGTCTTGCTGATGTCATCGGCATCCTCTTCTGTAATAATCTGATCATCCTTGCCCTCAAGACTATTTGGGAAATCATCTAAAAACATAGAATACTTTCTTCTTAAAGTGAGTAATAGAAAATAATGAGTATTTAAACTGGGGCGAGAGTGAAGCATCAAAATGTTAGGATTGATTTTTTTCAGTTTTAATGTTGTATAATTTCTGTGTTAGAGCGTGAAAACAACTTTTCACCAAACGTGTTCGCAGAGTGGACACCAGTAGAGATGGGCATCAGCAGAGTGGACACCAGTAGAGATGGGCATCAGCAGAGTGTACACCAGTAGAGATGGGCATCAGCAGAGTGGACACCAGTAGGATGGGAATCGTTTTGGAGAACGAAAAAATGTTTGCGAACGATAGCGTTCAGAAAAAAAGAATGATGGGCGAACATCTTGGATGGTTCAGAGAAATGATAAAACGAAAGTATTTCCAAAACGAACGAAAAAAATGTGCAAACCACCATGAAATGATTTTTTTACTGAACGAACGAATTTGTTTTGTAAAAAACTATCGTTTTTTACAAAACAAAAGATTTTCGAACAAACTTTTAAAATTTATTTTTTTTGAAGAAACAAATTTTTCAAACAAGGTTTTAAAAAAACTATTGTTTTTATTTTACTGAAAGAAAAGATTTCATTGAACAAACGATTTAAAAAAAAAAACACTAATGAAATGAATGAATTGAAAAAAAACGAAGGCGCCCATCTAGCGTCGTTTTACAATTATTTATTGATCCTAACGTAATGCATACATTCAGCTATTTAATGATCTTATTTGTCGTTTTGCAACAAATTTTCCTGAAGAAGATTATCGATACAACCAGTGATTATTGATTATTTCTTAAACACCATTATCTTAAATTTCTTAATTTCAAAATATATTCGCAGATTTCATTAAATTTCTTCAAATGAGATCCAAAGAAATCTACAGAAAACGTTTTGGATAAGAATAGAATGTTACAACTAGAAGGAGATGACTTACTAAAATTAACCTGATTTCAATGATAAAGTTTAATTTTGTTTCAAAATCTTTCCCAATCATTACATTAATACAAAGCAGAATTTGTTTGCTCTTTTGGTTTAATAATTTTAAAAATACGATACTTCTGGTTATTTCTGTAAACAATCCTAAAAGTATTTACTATTTCATACCTTTGTTAGTTTGATCTTTGACAGCTTGATCTACAACAGCTTGGTTTTTAACAGCTTGATCTACAACAGCTTGTTTTTTTACAACTTGATCTTCAACAGTTTCATCCTCCTGATCTCTGCCATCTTCAGCAATATCATTGTATTCATCTCTGTCTTCATTAGAATCTGTAAAATCAGTATTGTTTAATCTTATAATTTTTTAAATAAAATTTATTAAAATAATATTCACCTTTGTAGACTTTTTGTGATTTATCCAGTTCATTGAAATCTTCAGTTTCAGAATCACTTTCCTCTTTCTTTAGCAATTTTTTTATAATTTTTTATTTTCGTATTTTAAATAAGATATTTCAAATTTGTAATTCTACCGGTTGGATAGATTTACAATTTAATATCAGGAAATTATGACTCATCTAGGTTTTTAGAAACCCAGGCAACGTTAAACCCTGCTATTCGCTATGCCTTCAATTCTGGGAGGGGGGGGGGCATTTTTAGCTATAACTTAACTAATATGTTATGAATATATAACATCGCATGACATTTGAAATTATTTTTTTTTCCTAGTTACTAATATGTACATGCAATTTTTTTGTGATTTATCCAGTTCATTGAAATCTTCAGTTTCAGAATCACTTTCCTCTTTCTTTAGCAAATTTTTTATAATTTTTATTTTCGTATTTTAAATAATTTAGATTTTTAAAATCAGTTAGCAATTTGTCATTTATTTAGATTTGATTGATAATTTCAATCTTGTTTGTTCTGCAATGCGAACGTGACGTCTACTTTTCATATATAAACTGTTGCAACCTTTTACAAATCTGTGAAAAAATAAAATAACTAATAATAAATAAATAATTTAAATTCCCTGAAAAATGTGGATTGGTATATTTTTTTTATTTTTTTTCTAAATTAATTAATTTTGGTGATATTAGTTGTCTGTATCCTTTAAAATGCTATTGATACTGTAAAAATAGCAAAATTCAAATGCTTACATTTTATAATGATTAAACTTTTTTTATAACTGAGAATCCATTTTTTAGTGCTTAGATTCCTTAATTTTGTCAATTAGGCTACCAAGATCTTCGTCATTAGTTTCTTTCTGCTCATTAATTAACTAAATAAAAATAGTTTTTAGCAAATTTTTTCGAAAAAATGCCATCTACAAATAATCTTTCTCTTTGCGCTGTATAAAAATCTGCAAAAAATTGCATTGATAATTTCCATAGTTATATAAATATGTAGACGAACATTTTCAAAAATTTAGTTCATTAACAGAATGTTATACAACTTAAAAATGAGGTTTTATACTTAAAAAAAAGTTTAAGGAGAGTTAGTACTCGCTGTTCAGGTCCGTTCTATTGCATATTAAAAGAAATTAAGCATGAATTCATTTTTATCCATTTTCCATTAGTTTTTGGGTTAAGTATTAGTGTAGAAACTGTGAAGTTCTTTTCGGTTTTACGAAATTTTCTGTTAATTTAAAAACTCGTTTGCTAAGAGTTATCAAGGCCTCTTGACTCTCCATTCATAGAGTCAAATGATACCCTTGAAAAATTTGTCTTGTCGAAAATAAATTACGGACTTATACCACGTTTTTTTTTCATTTCAAAATGAATGTCTAAATATAAGTAGATTCGATTGCAGGCTTCTGAGGTAAGAAAAAAGAAAGGAGAAAAATTAAAAGAATGGAAAGCGACAAAATCTTTTTAATCAAATGCTCAGGTCTATAGGGTGCTATTGTGATTTGGACGTTTACCGCTCTATTTTGACACTCCTGCATGCCGAGTTTATTGGCGTCTGATCCATTCAGGGTTCAGTCATGTGTTTGTTGTCTATTCTGAACCAATAGAAATAGTATGGCAGTAACATCTATCTGATCTATCTCATTATCCAATTAGAGATATGAATCCTTTAATCGGCGATAACAGTAAATGGAAATATTTACTTCTACTAAAACTATAGTGATCATTTGAAATTACGTTTACAACTCTTTTCAAGTATCTTTCCATTCAGATTTCAGAATGAGAAAAAGTAATTTTTTCCATCGAACATTTGCTAAAAAGTACTTATATTTAAGATCCCCTGTTCAAAATAAAAAATAAAACAGTCCCTCAAGTTAAATTTTACCTCTTGAGTGTCTTCGTTTCTCCAGCTCTCTTCCCTTAAACTGATTTTATAAACTTCATGTTCTTAAATGAAATGTTTGCAAAAGATAAAAGGGGTATAGGCATGATATCAAATTTAATTAGCTATCGATCACTACTTACTCTGTGCAAAAAAGTTTTTTAAAAAGTTGGCGAAAAATTGCAAAAAAGAATAATAAAATCTGCCTGTCAGCTGGACTGTTTGCGAAGTATTCTGGACTCTGTAGAAGGAAAAAACCAAAAACCAAACCAAATATAGCCAGCGCCTAAACAAAATATAAACAAGCCATATGTGATTCAGTTCTATTTCTATTTAACATTTCTGAAAATATTTTGATGTTTCTATAATTAAAACTTAAAATTTTTTTTTTAAGAAGTCCCAGATTCTTTTGACACGTACAGTTTTTTCACAAAATAATAAACAAAGATTATATTAAACCTTATTTTACTCCTTATTGGTAACTTTTAATGACAAACAGACTTTTTTCGTCACATCTACGAGACTAAAATTCTACCTTGAAAAAATAGTATTTATTATACTATTATAAAGATTTATTCACACACAAAGATATAAATACATATATAAATGGTGTAGTTAAAATTTGCTTAAATAAATTTTTGAAAATACAGGTTTCCAAAAGAAAAGAGAAAAATATGCAAAATTATGCACAAATAGACAACATTGATTATTACTCACTACATAACATATTTATCATTTCAGTTATTACGTAATCATCGAATTATTCATTCTTGTATTTAAAGGGAGTGACTGGCTATGTAAGGTAGTTCAACTACCTTACATAGCCAGTCACTCCCTTTAAAAGTTCTTGTAAAACCGGAACTTTCCATGCATGTTCCAATGGGACATCAAAATATTTCATTTGTTTCTTAACTAACATTTTACATAGATCCAAAGGATTTACAGAACAATCATTTGCAATAGAAAATAAATTTCTGCCAAGAACTGTGTTAAGGTCAGTTTTACATAAATTAGAAAGAAATCTAATGCTTCAATAGTCTCATAGAAAGACACACATGTGGTAGCTAACATAGTTTTAACATGTAAACAATGTGAAATACTTTCAATCAAGTGCCTATGCGTATCTTTAGGTAAATTACAAAGAATTCTAATAGCAGTATTCCATGCTGTATACAATTTTGAAACACATTGAGAACTCAAGTCCCAAATACTAGATCCATAAAAACTATAACAATAAATATTATACAGTTTCAAAATGACATCAGGACTGTTAAAATAAAATTCTTGGTTAAGGGAATGAATTTTTAAAATGAAAATAGCTCGTTTTTTATTGCAATCTATGGTCATCGAATTATCACTTTGCAGAACATTTCCTAAGTGTTTTAAGTCGTTGACAAATGGTAAAGGTAGTTCATTCAATAAATAAAGTTCTGTTTATCAATTCCCAGTAATAGATTAATAGATTTTTTAGATAACATTTAAGATCTAATGCAAAATGTTATAAGATATGCGTCATTAGCTGATTTGAAAATTCCGCCAGAATCAATAATCATAAATCTAAAATGCGGGAACGAAATATTACCGAATACAAGAATCCAATAACGATAACTTGATTCTTCAAATCCACGCCACACACTCCTCTTTTCATTAACTGCATTCTTTAGATTATCACTGCACGAAATAAATTGGAGTTTTTGGAGTTGAATATGCTGAAACTGTTGCTTATCTTGCCGAAGTTTTATCTATCCTATCCTATCCATGTTTACTCGCCTTATCTTTTATACTTTTTATCATGATTTCAATTATATCACACTGCAATCTTCGTATTTTTTAGTGCAATTAGAAAATTGGAAATAGATGGAAAAATATGTCAGCTCTCCTTTTGCCTGGGTCGATTTTATAATGTCGTTAAGATTTTACGTTTGATTTTACCTAACTGATGCATTCTAGCTCTTATATAAAAAACACTCGTCTATAGCATTAGTCTTTAAGAAATTCTTAGCAAAATCCTCATCGAGTTTTACGTGCGTCGATTTCAGATAAAATGCGCCAATTTTTGGCCGTTATTGTTCCCTATTATTTTCTTATTTTTTGTGTGTGAACTCCATTTTCTTGTGTTTATTTAATATTTTGTGTCTTGCAAGATACTCTCTTGCATTTGAATTGTAACATTATGTGCTAGCTCCCCCCCCCCCGCCCCTCCCAACAGTCTGGAATGCTGCTTTGATGCCATAGAAGCCAAAGAGCTTGTTAAGATTAATTTGATAAAATTATTTTATTTATTAATATACTTGTCAATTAGGTTCAAAGAGAGCAAAAATTCGGGTTCAGACCAAAGAAATTTTTCAACAAGACTTTCACATTTAGATTTAAATCTGTAATAATATCTTATATATATATATAATAATATCAAGAATAAATATGACTGCGTCAACCCTCATCATCAAAAACTGCGTCCACCTTCACCACCAGAAACTGCGTCCACCTTCACCAGACTTAGTTAAATTTGCCATAATACTTTTGCCATAAGTACATTTGCCATTATTACACTTGCCTTAACATGTTTGTCATAAATAACACTTGCCATAAGTTGCACAATTGCCATAATGATTATACTTGCCCTAACTACAATCAATAATAGTTACAATTACCGTACATATATCTATAATTCTTTCTTAATAAAACAACATCAATTATCTTTTGTGACTACAGTTAACCAATCTCATTAAGGGACAGCTCATGAGCAGTATATAAGATTAAGCTACCGCTCTATTGGAAAAGTATTGTATTGTCATTGATTCTTCACCAAGCTCTTTCTACCAGTATTAATGTTCATATCTCTCCCGGCAGCAAAAACTAAAGTTGGGAATTATCAAGAGAAAATTTCGAGCATTTATTAAAATAACATTGTTAGATTTATACGAGTTATAGAATTATGGCTGAAGTAATTATGGCAAGTGTAACCCTTATATGGCAAGTCTAACTTATGGTAAGTGTAATTTTTATGACAAATATATTTATGGCAAAGTATTATGGCAAATGAGTCCCATCACCATCAAAAACTGTGTACACCTTCACCAACGGAAACGCCGTTAATCTTCAATTAGTTCAAGTGCATTCGTTCACATAATTCCGAGTGGACTAAAGGTTTTAAGGTTTGCAAACAAATTTTTAAAAACTTTCCCCTCAAAAAAAAATCCTTGATATTTTGGCTGAATCTTTTAGTAGCCCGGCCCGTTAAGGGATATTTTGAAAAGATTGTTATCAGAACAACAAAACTTTAAGCTATGAATGTAATATGACTTTGAGAGGAGTCTTG